GAAATTCTATTTTTCATTGCTACCAGGTTCGGCCTCATTTTCTCTGTGCTGCGCTGATGAGTCCACAAAGGACGAAACAGTTCTGTCTGCAGATTGAGTAATTCATCAAGTACTAACTTTTAGTACTAGTATCTCCTAAGTCACGAAGTTTCGCTCTGTTTGGTTGGAATGGTAAGCTGGGAGGGGGGGGGGGGGGGGGGGGCAGGTGTGTGGTGTGGTATACACTACTATTGAAAACAGGTCCTCCTGACCGAATCACTTGATGCATTCAATGTGTTCATTTTCCGGTGAACATACCGTCCGTTTTGTTTCAGACTGGTATCACTCACAATGGGGCATTAGACAACACAAACTCCATAACGTTGGACTGGAGAGCGCCAAGCGTTGCTCGTTCTGATCTGACTGTGAGGTGAGCTTTGGAGATGTTATCCGCTGGATGATCAGTGTGTATATTGGAGATGTTATCGGCTGCATGATCAGTGTGTATATTGGACACCACATAGCACTGAAGCAAGGGTTACAGCGAAACACCTTGGTCGCCAACGTAGTCAGTGTAGTGGATACACATCCCACTGTTTGTCATTGTATCCTTTTATGTAGCATGTATGCATTCATCCGGCCGCGCTGTACGACATGCCAGTTGTACCGTACGCACTTTAGCTGTACCTGCCTGCCTGGCTTTTCCTTTGATCTCTCTGTCGTTCTCTGTATTCCCACACACTTGTGATTTGTTGTAAACGAAGCTAGTTACAAGCCTGATGTCTTTGGTGCGTTTGTAGAACCACTACAGTCAGTGGGGTATCTCTGAAATTCAGTGCTGTTGGTGAAAAGATCTGGCCCACTGTTGTATAATAATGGTGTGTTGTTTTCCTGTGTGATGACATTCCCCAAACCGTCTTCGTCTAGTTGCGTGCATGTGTAATATGAGGATGCGGGGTGTTGTAGTCGAGAGGTCTTTTTGTCAGTCTTCTTGTTCGTCTCTTTGAGTGTAGTCTCCTTTTCCGTCATGCCGATAATATAATAAGGCCCAAACAAATAATGACCTTGTTTCGGGTTGGCCGACCAGGCCACTTTTTCCCAAATTCTGAAACTTTTTTTGGTCCCAAATGTATACGAATGGTGCCAATGCCATGTTTGCAAGTGCACTCAACAAGTCATAACTCAGTCGAATCTCAACCGAATTCAACAATCGAAATACCTACGAGGTAGCAGAGAGTCTCAGCTGTCGGCTCGAAAACTCCGGGGTCGATACAAGCTATTATAACGGAGCTGCAAGCACTCGAACTCTTTGCTTGATTTCTCAGGATGTAGGACATCAGGAATACACCACATACTGTACAAGAACAGTGAGATAGTTAACTTTGACATTGATCCTTGCCATGATACATGTGCAATGTACTTGTGTAGGTGCTCTTGTCCATCAATACCACAACGATTGATGAACCAAAAAAAAGTATCCAAAAAGTTTCATCCGGCCGACCGAGTCTCCTTTTTGAGGGGTTGCCGACCCGAAACAAGCCTATTTTTTTGTTTTGGCCTTATATAAGAAACAAGTACTTGTCCTTCGTGTCCTGCGTCCCGGGGAACGGAATGGGTATGATTCCGTTACAACGCGGTGACGAAATCAGGGACGCAGAGGATGAGTCTGTTTGTCGTCGTCCGTTACAGCACTACATGCAGAAGTGAGTAACCAGTTTGGCTCGTCACACATCAGTCACACCACTTTCCCAACCCTGTTTCGATAACACGTGTGCTGCACTGACAAAGAGTGCAGGCACTGGCCAAGTCTAGTATCAGTGTCTCTAGCCTTATGGAAAGCCTGTGGTAACCTTTTTTTGTTTTCAAGAATGGGGATGGTTGGTGCGTGTGTGTGCATATGTGTGTGTCCGTATGTGCATGTCTCCATATGTGCATGTGTACGTGCGTATGTACACGCCACGGTTGTGCATATGTCTGTTTTCACATTGCTAGGTGCACAGTGGTGGAGACGATGACGACTGTGTACACACAGATACCATCAAATACCATTACAGCTGTAAGTGGATACCAACACTTGCTATGCAGTGTCTGCACATGAACTGGCCTGAATTGAGGCTCAAAACCCCACTTTGAACTTGAAAAATCTGGGTTTTGGATCTGCTTCTCCATACATTTTGCCATGGCATAAAAGTAAAGTTCGCACATCCGCAGCATACCTGGCCTAATTTTTGTTGATTTAAAAATATTCAAAATTTGGACGGTTTGCGTACCGGGCAGGTCAAGAACCACATTTCCGCTTCCGTGGGACGCCACCACCCCATGATCAGGCGTCAGATGCAGCTCCTAAGCAGTGGGGGAAGATCGATCAGATCCACCAACCAGAGGCCAAAGGCCGAAATCCCCTCTGCCACATCCATTGTTAATTTTCCCGGTCTTTGGACTTTTCTGGCCTCAAATGTGGCAAGAAATAATTGCACGGATCACCCAAGGCAGGACATACTGGTGTTTTCACGTTATCTACAACTATACGTGGGAGACGGGTCTAGTTCTCGTAAGGATCCATTCACGTTTGCGGCCGTTGCCTTCACATCAGGGTGACACATCCGGTAGCAGTGACTGGACGGGGCCCTCCTGGCCGGGACTGATCAGATTGCGGGTATATTCCAGCTTTTCGTTATGCCTCCTATTGCATGCTGACATACCGGCTGTCAATGTAGATCCACGTACATACATGTAGTGATCCATCTCTGTAAGGTTTGTTTAAGGTGTTGGCCTGGTACAGTCAGACCTCGCTTAACCGCACACATACCTTTTCCACAAAAAATATCCGGATAGGCGAGGGAACCGGATAATCATAGATAGGCGAGGGAACCGGATAATCATAGATGGCGAGGGAACCGGATAATCATAGATAGGCGAGGGAAGCGGTTAATCATAGATAGGCGAGGGAAGCGGATAATCATAGATAGGCGAGGGAACCGGATAATCATAGATAGGCGAGGGAACCGGATAATCATAGATAGGCGAGGGAACCGGATAATCATAGATAGGCGAGGGAACCGGATAATCATAGATAGGCGAGGGAACCGGATAATCATAGATAGGCGAGGGAACCGGATAATCATAGATAGACGAGGGAACCGGATAATCATAGATAGGCGAGGGAACCGGATAATCATAGATAGGCGAGGGAACCGGATAATCAAACATCCATGCTATATGTATGCATGGCATATGCTGTAAATCAGTGACCAGCGATTTTCTTCCGGATGGCGAGAGATCTGGATAAAAGAGCACCGGATAAGCGAGGTCCGACTGGACGAGGACAACGTTTCTAAGCTGGTTGTAACAACATCATAAATGTATGGCCGATGGTATCATGGATGTGAAAACTTTGCTACAGTCAGACCTCGCTTAACCGCACACATCTGTTTTCCACAAAAATATCCGGATAGGCGAGGGAACCGGATAACTGAACACACATTCTTTATTTGCATGTGGCATGTCAAAAGCAGTGACATTGTACATACATGTAGACGGGTCCTATGCAGTACAACTAGCGTGCACAACATGTAAAACAAGCGAGAAAAATGACAAGTGCATGCAACTGAGTGCTGTCCACATGCACCCAGCAGGTCAAGGACCTCATTTGCCTGTACAAGTCCCTGATTCTAGTTTCTGCAAGCCACATGCAACCGGATACGACGAAGCTTTTTTTTACACATTTTAACCAGTTTGTATACAAAATCATACACCGGTATGCGGATCGCGAGGTCCGGTTATGTTGTATGCATAACATATGCTGCACATCGGTAACCATCGATTTTCTTCCGGATGGCGAGGGATCCAGATAAACGAGGACCGGATTAGCGAGGTCTGACTGTATCTACAAATATTCATACCAGTAAGTGTGGGGGGAAGTTGTACCGTAATCTCGCGCATGTAAGGACATGTTCTTATTTACGAATATAGGAGCACTCTCGCTTACATGCACCTATACTTGAATGAAAATCACAAAACCACACGAGGTTTATCATGGTTCCATTGTACTGGCATTAACCAAATAATATGGGTACTTGCACATGTACATGTCGATGCGATGTTTGTTTCTCGCATATATGACCATGGTCTTATAATCGTACGAAAATGCACTTTTGAAAAGACCGAAAACAGCGACTTTTCGATTATAAGACCATGGTCTCGTATGCGCGAGATTACGATGAATGGGAAAAGTCTGAAGTTCTGGAATTACATGTATACAAAGTGTGGTACGGTCAGTGATCTGAAGTACAATTTACTCGTGAGGGAAGGGTGGCTGAGCCGAAAAGTTTGGAAATTCAGAGCCCAAATCAGTGCATTTTATTGATTCACGGGGTACTTGGGGCAAAAAGTGGTACGGTCAATACCGTAGTGACCGTACTGTGTGCGACACCCCTGACTTCTTCTTTTCTTTTAGACTCTAGACGTGTTCACTTGCACGGTAATGTCTGCGACACTAATACTGTTTATAGCATTGATAAAGAAAAATGGACTGTCACCGCCAGGACTCGAACCAGGGACCCTCGCTTATGGCCAGCGATGCTCTACCATTAAGCAAATACTATACTTTGAAGTATTATGGTAAAGAAGGAGAAGGACGAAATGTTACGAGTTATGACTAACTGGCTCACCATCCGAGTTCAAATAGTATTATATTAATAATAATATGAAACTCGGATGTTGAGCCATAAATAAAATGTAGAAGAGAAAAGGACATATGGATACGAGTTAAGAGTAACTCTCCATCACTGTAACATGATATTATATACAGTCAGAAAGTGCAATAAATAGGCAAATAACTGACAGAGTACTGAGACATTCGATGTCCTGACACCTAGCTTCAACACATCTCTGTAGCGCTAACCAACAGTGTCAGGTGTCAGGACGTCGAATGTCTCAGTACTCTGTCAGTTTTGTGCCTAGTTATTGCACTTTCTGACTGTATATATGTTACAGTGATGGAGAGTTACTCTTAACTCGTATCCATATGTCCTTTTCTCTTCTACATTAATAATAATAGGCAGGCATAGTGGGACGGTCCAAGACCATGATTGAGAAACAGAAGGTACCAGGTTCAAGTCCTGCTTGGAAACGGAAGGAATTTTTCCAGCCGTGCTGCGACCCACAGTTAATTGGGAACTCGTGGCCTGGCACGAGGGTAACATGGATGCAGCTAATGGGATTTCGGTTTTTGACCACTTTGTGGTGGATCTGATCTACCGACCTCCCACCGTTTAGGCGCTGCATCTGCGCCTTGATCCTAGAGGGTGGTGGCGTTCCTACGGATGAGGAAAACTCGGCTTCCAGCCGAGTCTCACGCGAACCATGAAATTTATTTATTTAATAATAATAATACTCTCCATTTCTGTTTGACTCTGTCATCGTGTATGTCAATATCTGTGCGCAGCCTGTTTTTGATCCTACCGCCACGCAACCACCTGCAATCACCATACCAACCCAGAGACCGGTGAGTAAGGGCCTCTCTTTGTCTAGGCGTGGAGCATGCACAGTTAGCTGCGCGCCCTTGCGGCTGGAAAGAGTGACATTTCACGAACGACATCAGAACATGCAGCAGGGCTACTTAGCACTTGCCTGATGATTGCCTAGCGGCATGAAACTCAGAGTTTTAACCACCCTGAACGTCCTCCGCTGTGTTTGCTATGTACTTGGAAGTATACTAATTATACCTTTGCTACTTTTGGTACATATACCGGTAACAACAGATGATGTCACTCTGTGTGCTCTAAACAAACCAAAAAAAGTTGCCATGTGGCCATATGGCAATCACTATCCGCTGCACTAGCTGCTACATACCGATTGGAAACTTGTCAGTTGATAGCACCATGCATCAAGCAGTAGGATTACTACGGCCATGCTCGTCGTCCAGTGCATTAAACAGCCATCAAGAGCCGTGTAACTCTGCAGAAAATTTTGCACAGACCGAGTGAAATGTGTTACTGTGGTCTCATCAAGAGTGCATAAACAAGAGTATGCAACTGTGGTTATGGGTCAGTGCGCGGCGCGCTGCCTTCATTATGTACCGCTCTGAAAACATGCACTCAAACCCACAATTTCTCGTACGATCGTACGAGCCCATCCGGCTTTGCTCGATTCGTTCCAGTACCTACGCGATCTCTACATTTTGGAGCGTGAACTCCAGTTGCGTACGATAGTTCATTTCAAACCAGAGGGAAAGTGCGGTGTTTAATTTTCCGCAGTGCACAGACTGCAGCTGAATGATGTAATGAAGGCAGCGCGCCGCGCATCTGGCCCATAGAAAAGAGATCACAGCTGCATACTCTTCTCTTGTTTATGGACTCTTGGTGTCATCCGTGAACGTTGTTTTCGCTGAAATGGATGTTTTCAAAAGTAATCTTAGTCTTAGTGGAGATCTGAATGCACTGCGGCGCTCGTCTTTGTCCCACAGGTTTGTACACATTTCTGCTCACTTCATCATTGCGTGCCCAGTCTATGGCGCCGCATTTCCTCGAGTTCCAGGGCGCTTTGGTGAATGTGGTCATGCACATCAATAGGTGGTACATGGGCACGGGCCTGGTGGAGTGGCATGCAGGCTCGATAAGTTTGATACCTCTCTACCAGCCACACCCCGCACTTCTTCCGGCTTTTGTTGGCTGACCGCGAATGTGCGCCGGAATTGTGGCCAAAGCCGCAGCAGTGTGGTTTATAGAGGTGATGTGATTTTTTAAACAATATCAAGAGGATGAAAAACATAGCCAGCAATCGCATGTCATCACGTACATTCAAAATCAACATAATTTTGCGAATCGACCTTTTTTCAGGATCACTTTTCAACGAGGACAAAGCAAAGTCGGCCGAACGAAGCCTAGAGGAAGAAAATCACCCTCTCCACTTCACCATCACGATACTGACATAGAAACGAGATGAAACAACTAAACAATCCACAAGAAAACTGTACGGCCATCATCGCGCTGACTTTGGTCTGACTTTGGTCTGAGAATTTCTATCACGATCAAAAATGTACGAGGAGCACTCAAAAATAAGCTACAGACGTACCTTTATCGCTCTCTACTCCTTTTTCAAGGCACAAAAGTCGACTCTCCACTTTCAAACCAGGAACCAGACATACCAGTGGTCCTTTTCAGCTGCTCCGCGAGCGCAGGAAATGTTCACCAAGGGGCGCAGAGCAGCATCCATTCCAGAAAAAAAGAGCTAAAATACGAGTGAGACTGCATGCCTGAGTACATGAGTACATGTATGAGTACATGCAGAAAATAGTCAATTTCAGCGTTTCTGCTCCAAACAGCAACTAGCTTCGACTAGAAACAAAGATTACAACGAAGGATCAAACAACAACCATTTTCTGCAGTTTTTTTGCAGATGGCTTCCTTGTGCTTGGCCCAGCACGCCAAAAATCACACCTCGGAGGAGTACACAAATTACAACTCTCAGATGTCCTCGATTGCTGGCCATGAGTGTTTTACTCCGAGTTTCCCACACTAAGCAATCCTCAGAATACAGTTATGAGTAAATCTGGATACTGGTTTATATACCCACAAATCAAAAGTGTAAATGACAGCAGTCGTGACAGATTGCATCATGGCATGAATATGCAAGGTGCGAATGACAGCAGTGGTGAAAGGTATCACTTAAAGGGGAAGTTAAGGCAAAAATTAAAATTTCACCAGTTGTAGTCTTCGGGGTGCTGAGTCGAATGGTCGTGGTCCGAGGAAGCTGAGACGCTCCCTTCCTACTTGAATCCCAATCGAACTCGCGTACTTCCACCGAAACTGGGTGACTGCGCCCTACTAGATGGGGATTTGTATGCAAAATGTCACTAAAAGCGCCATTTCGTTCTTATAAAAGCACGGATGACCGCGATTGGCCCATATGTTGTAGTCTTTTGGACGCTGAGTCGACTGGTTTTGGTCCGAAAAGGCTGCGATGCGGCGTTCCTCCTTTATTCCCAATCGAACATGGTTGAACAAGCGGTCACGTGCTCCTGCGTACACCAGTCACCTGGTCACCGTGCCTGCAGGGTACAACTTACTATCCTGTTTGACCTTTTTTGGGTGCAGTCCTGTCACTCGAGTTGAACCTTGGTGTGAAAGTTGTCACCTGCTGGCGTGGTGACCAGGTGATTTGGGCACCCAGGACCACGTGACCGCTTCTTCAACCATGTTCGATTGGGAATAAAGGAGGAACGCTGCATCGCAGCCTTTTCGGACCAAAACCAATTGACTCAGCGTCCAAAAGACTACAACATATGGGCCAATCGCGGTCATCCGTGCTTTTATAAGAACGAAATGGCGCTTTTAGTGACATTTTGCATACAAATCCCCATCTAGTAGGGCGCAGTCACCCAGTTTCGGTGGAAGTGCGCGAGTTCGATTGGGATTCAAGTAGGAAGGGAGCGTCTCAGCTTCCTCGGACCACGACCATTCGACTCAGCACTCCGAAGACTACAACTGGTGAAATTTTAATTTTTGCCTTAACTTCCCCTTTAAAGTGACATGCACTGGAGCTGGTTGTCTGCTACTTGATTAGGTGATGCATGTGGATGGTTTGAAGTTCCGAAGGTAGTACAATGTACTTATTCTCGTGGCAACATTTTGACACAAGTTCACTCCTCTTGTTGAGAGAGAGAGAGAGAGGTGCTTGCGTGATTGCCAATTTTTCCGCCACGCATAGGTTGCACATGTTTTGCTTTTTGTTGCTTTAGGCCACTGCTTTGCGGTGTACCGCCCATTGAATGCTGCATGCCTTCCCTTGATCCTTCTTGTCCCAGACGTACTGCGATAGGCGGGCGTCCTTCTCGTGTTGTCTGTGGCGGAATGATGATTGGTCGTTATAGTAGCGTAGTAACATTAGAGGTTATGTGATTACATCATCAGTTGAGATGCTCCGGCGAAGCCGGGGACTCGCAACACAGCGCTGCACTTGCCGCGCACTGGCGGCTCACGCTGCATCCGTAGCGCCCGTAGGCGGGTCCGCTAACTCACGCTGCATCCGTAGCGCCCATAGGCGGGGCCGCTAACTCGCGCTGCATCCGTAGCGCCCATAGGCGGGTCCGCTAACTCACGCTGCATACGTAGCGCTCATAGGCGGGTCCGCTAACTCACGCTGCATACGTACCGCCTTTAAGCGGGTCCGCTGGCTCACCCGTGAAATCACTCGCACAACCTCTATAGTCAGTTGTCGGCTTCTCTTTCCAGATTTCACTTGGTAAAAAAGTAAAGGTAAATTATCGTGTCGGTTCCCGAAGGGAACTCACGACGGCCGCTAACACCTGGTAAACCCTAGCGGCAGATGCAGCGCCTAACGGTGGGGGTGAGGGGATAAGTCGCACAACCACTGGCACTAGTGCCGAGAAACCCCATTAGCCGCATCCATTGGTGGAAACGCAAAAAGAAACCTTGTCATGGTACATCCACTCCCAAGTCCCTCTGCCCTTGTAGTTCTAGGTTGCATCCTGATATCTGTGCATCTATCATCATTATCATCATGGCTGCTACTGTAAAAACTGGGAATTTTCGGTGGTGTGATATTTTCGGTATTTCCCAAAATCATGAGTCAGCTGTTCGGCAGCGCGAAAATTTCGGGAAACCAGTTTTCCAGATCCAAAAATGCGTTTTGCACACTGTGCTGTGTGGCATGGCTTTGTTGAATTTTAGGTCGCGTTTTATTTGAGCCTAGGTAAAAATTACCTGTACCAAAGTTGCCGAAAATATATCTCCACTGACATTAAAAATTTTCTGGTTTTGCAGTATGCTGTTTTAGAACAGTGGCTCTAAGCTTACGCTCAAACAGCCTCTGCTGTGTGTGTGTGTGTGTGTGGGTGTGTGCGTGAGTGCGTGGGGTGTGGTTGTGGGTGCGCGTTCATGTGTGTCTATGTGTGTGTGTGGGGGGGGGGGGGGGTTCTGGTGCAATTTCCTGTACGTGTATGTGCTTCCCATTGCTGAGCTGTGATGGGGACGTCAACACTGTACGCGGTGCTGCTGCCTACAGGTGATTTCTATTGTGGTAAGTGACCAAATCGACCCTGCATACTCAAAGCATGTCACGTTACAGCACCCTGCCTTGTATTCTTCGTCAGCAATACACTCACTCGCACATTCACCTCGTTAGCGATACACTGACACATTCACCTCGTTAGCGATACACTGGCACATTCACCTCTTTCCTACATTGTTGCTTGCTATGTTCTTGCCAGGTCTTTCGGTCTTCGGCAAAGATGGGGCAATTGTTGATCCATCAGTATACTTCAATGTATACCTCAAAATCACGCTGTAATCTGCAGTTCCGTCTCTTGACAACTAATAGTTTGGTTGTGAAACTTATGTAAATTATGATTTCAACTTTTGGCAGTAAATATTCTGATACTAGTACTAGTACCGGTATGCTTGTTGTGTGCTGTGTAGGATATTCTCGACGCATGCCGTGGAAGCTCTCCTAGCAAGTTCTGCTTTACCCAGCCTTCCAGTTGCAACTCGACTAGCGACTGCAGATTCGTGTATACCCACCGTGAGGTGGGCCCTGACATGCTGGAGGTAGAGCTGTTTGGGGTGACTGGACCCGATTCAGGCTGGTTAGCTATAGCTTACAGTGCCGATGATGAAATGGTAAGCCTGCTGCTGCTGCTGCTGCTGCTGCTGCTGCTGGACCAGATCTCTACTGAACATCCCCACCGCCACGGAGTGGTCTAGCGCCGGGGGCAGTGACTCCTGTTGCTGTTGGCACATGTTGTGCATGTTTCACTACTTGTCTGTGCATGTTGTAGATTACGCTTGGTTGTGTATCTGAACGTACTAAGCTGCAGCAGATGTGCTTGCACGGGATCCAATGGCTTATATTAAGTAAACAAGAGAGCTTTAAAGCTCAGGGCCCTGCCCTATGCTTTTTTGCCTGGCTCATTATGAATGTGATTCGAACTGATGGAAACGTTTTTGCAATACAATGATGTAGCCGATAAAGTAACGTCTTTTGCATAGCGGCATAGATTGCATAGATGACGGCTCTATGCCTATGGACCGCAGTCACCACATACGGAACAAGTTCGGGCATGATCACGTCCTTTCTCCTGCCGACTGGATGCCTGTTTAGCAGTCTCTTGCTGTCGACACATATTTCACGAAGTCCAAGCGACGGGATATTTGCCCCGTTGTTTCTTGTTGTCGGCTTATTAGCCTTTCGCAAGCACGGCGACTGTCGAGGTGGCGGGACCTCTCTTCTCCCATCTTCTACTCTCTGTGTAGGCACTCCTGCCGACGCCATCTGCTCAGAGCTTCAACACTGTCACCCCTGTCATTTTGCTCTCCCTCATAGTTCTCTGCTAATGATCTCAGCATTCCATCTATACAACAACCGCGCCCATTAAAACACTGCAATCTACCCGGTCCTTACATTCCCGGCCCATTAGCACCACACCCAAAAACATTCAAACGATAATGCGATAATGCGACACTGTAACGTTGATGACCTAGGCAAAAAAACCCATAGCGATGCTATATTTCTTTCATTTCACCAATTTTCTCAAGACACTATAATGGGATTTGAACCCACATTCTCGCCCTGCATGCATTCCCCCCGGTACACTTCGCACTTGATATACACTCTTCCAAGTTGCTTCACGTTATGATCTTGCAGTAGAAAGCCCTATTTGAATAATGTCACAATGTGGCCAGCTGTCTTTGATGGTATAGTACGGGACATGTGCGGGATAGCGCCAGGCATGCCGATGTCGTCAGGCACAAACAAACAAACAAACGGAATTAAAGCTGTGTGGACCCTGGCTTGCGCCAGATGTTACTGAAGTAACGTCTTTTGCATACCTACAGGAAAAGTTAGTAATTGAGCGGCTTCACTCGTCCTGTACTGGTCTTGCCCCTCCCCCCCCCCCCTCCCCCTCCCCCACACACACATATTCAAGTATGCGAAGTGCTTTGTATTCTGTGCCTTTCCCAGGGAAATGATGACGTGTTAGCCTGTGAAGTGACGACTAATGGTATAGTTGTGGCCAAGAACTTGCACAACTTTGGGCGGTCCAACGTTCGTGACACTGGAAGCTCAGCTGTGAGTGCTTATAACTTCGAGTCTCGACGGCTTTCAACTGTGACATAATAATTATACATCATGTACATGTACATACATACAACAATGTGTTTGGGTTGATTATAATGAACGCCTGCCTGGATTGCATACAACCAGCATTGATCAGACACACACAGTTATACACCGTAGGAGCGTCCGATGGAGTGTGGACCGTGTGACTTTCTTATCTTCTGATGCCGTGGGGAAATTTGCCCAGTGCTATCAAAGTTTTAATGATGGAGGTTTGAGTTCTGTTCGATCAAGGTTTGTATGCCACCTGGCCATGTGAGAAGGCAGATTTCAGCACTGTTGTTTGATCACTGGTGTGATGAGTTTGTCCTTGGAACCCTTGTACCCCGCCGACAGTCATGATTCATGACTGAGCATGGAAGGGAAGCATGTCTTTTATTAGCCGTGAATCTGGCTACCGGTACCAGTGATGAAGGTGGTCTCAGTCTCAGTCTCAGTCTCAGTCTCAGTCTCAGTCTCGTCGCTGCTGTATTATTTTAAAACCGTGCTTGGCTCAGTCATGTACATGCCGTGCGAGCACTGGATGTCCGTTGGCATAGCTGGAAGCCGTTGGTGTGTGCACGGCATACACGGGGATGCGCATAAATAATACTGTTATAGCAATAAAATATTGTTTCAGGGGCTGTCCGTAATTTTCGAAAAATAAAAAAAATCCATCCTCATGCAAAAAGGGGGTGGGTGGTCAAGAGCGCTGGAATGTTTTTGATTTTTCATACACTTGTTCGACTGACTGTGTAGTGTACTGTAGTGTAGGATCGATTGTCGCAAACACCAGTATGATGTACCGTAGTGTCGCGTATAAAACCATGATCTGTATAAAAGCATGGCTCGAATAGAAGCCGATTTTCGAAGAACGTCGTGACACAGAAGCACGATTTGAATAGAAGCCACTCTCTGCAAAGACACATGCACGTACTTCCACAGTGCATACGTGGCAGTATGCACTGCACAGTGTACGCTGATGATGTTGACGTAGAAGCATTTTTTTAATAGAAGCATAACTTGAAGAGAAGCATGGTTCGAACCCCGGCTTATACAGTCAGACCTCGCTTATCCGGTTCTCGTTAATCCGGATCCCTCGCCATCCGGAAGAAAATTGTTGGTCACCGATTTGCAGGTATGCTATGCACACACACAGTATGTGTGTTCGATTATCCGGTTCCCTCGCCTATCCGGATATTTTTGTGGAAAACGGATGTGTGCGGTTAAGCGAGGTCTGACTGTACTGCCGTAAGCACCTGCTTTTATACGTGCATACTTGCCAACCATACCGGTTTTCCCCGTATATACGGGGAAACTACGGTCACTACCGGCATACCGGGGATTTTTGATTTTGATGGAAAAACTACCGGTATTGGCACTGAACCATGAGTGTTCAAGAAAAGGTTCTTTTGTGGTGTGACAAGGGCTCATGCGGCCCTGCATTTGACAGAATCACACATGTAGGGATGATCTGAAACTCAGGTTTTGGTCCTCCAATAATCAATAGGTTAGAAATGAATAAAAAGAAAGAAAACATTGCGGAAAATACACAAAAATAATCAAAAATTGCCCAAAAGAGAGAAATTTGCCGAAATTGGCGAAAACCAGGAAAACAAGGGAAATGGGAGAATATAAGGGAAACTGGGTGTGTGCCGGACTAAGGGATTTGCCGCAGTTTGGCTGGGTTGGCAAGTATGTACGCAACGTTACGGTAGTTGTAGGACGTGCATGATGAACGTTGGCAGATCTACTCAGTAGTATGGCTTGACACAGGTGGAGTCAGTGAAGGGCCTGGGGTCAAGAGTTCTTATTTTCTAGGTGGGCATTGGGAAAAATCAAAAAATTAAAGGGGAAGTATTCCCTAAAATCAAAATTTCACCAGTAGTAGTCTTCGGAGTGCTGAGTCGAATGGTCTTGGTCTGAGGAAGCTGAGACGCTCCCTTCCTCCTTTAATCCCAATCGAACTCGCGCACTTCCACCGAAACTGGGTGACTGCGCCCTACTAGATGGGGATTTGTCTGGAAGAAGTCACTAAAAGTGCCGTTTCGTTCTTATAGAAGCACAAATGACCGCGATTGGTCTATATGTTGTAGTCTTTTGTACGCTGAGTCGACTGGTTTTGGTCCGAAAAGGCTGCAATGCAGCGTTCGGCCCTTATTCCCAATCGAACACGGGTGAGCATTAAAGTGGTCACGTGGACCATGCCTGCAGGCTACAACTTTCACACCAAGGTTTAACTCAAAGGTTCGAAGGTTCAACTCGAGTGACAGGAACGCTGTAAAAGTTGTAGTCTGCAGGCACGGTGACCAGGTGATTGGTGTACGCATGAGCACGTGACCCGGCTTACTCACCCGTGTTCAATTGGGAATAAGGACCGAACGCTGCATCGCAGCCTTTTCGGACCAAAACCTGTCGACTCAGCGTCCAAAGCCGGGACTACAACATATGGACCAATCACGGTCCTCCGTGCTTTTATAAGAACGAAACGGCACTTTTAGTGACTTTTGCCTACAACTTCAATCTGAATCCCCATCTAGTAGGGCGCAGTCACCCAGTTTCGGTGGAAGTGCGATTCGATTGGGATTAAAGGAGGAAGGGAGTGTCTCAGCTTCCTTGGACCAGGACCATTCGACTCAGCACCCCGAAGACTACTGCTGGTGAAATTTGATTTTAGGGTATACTTCCTCTTTGACTTAATGTGAAAAATGGAGGTGGGTGAGTTAGAGACAATTTTTCACGAGGACGGATTTTTAATTTTTTTCTATAATTACGGATTGCCCCTTATTGTGGCATTGTTGTGCCTGTTTCCGCTGTGTTTGATCCGATAGAGTCCCTTTATTACAACTCTGGAGACACTGCGCACTTCAAACACTCTCTATTGCAGGTGAGGTGATACTAATTTGAGGGACCAATCAAACAGTCTGTGTACAAGTCAGCATAGGACACACTAGCATGGGCACATGTGAACGGTAGCAAGGGCAGCTTAGATATAGGCTTCCAGGTAGGGCAGTACATGGTCTGATACAGTCATGTACTCTAATTTCAGAAATTTCCGGTTCTCAACATTTTCGGTATGAGTGCAAAAGGCCAGGTTAGGTGAACAGAAACTTTAGGTACAGAGAGGCAGTTCCCTATTATCAAGAGTAGATAAACAAGAGTGTGCAACTCCGGATCTCTCCTGCATAATCTGCAGATACCCCCGCCCACGGCGGAATTTTTTGTTGACGTAACCTTTTTTCAGAAGAACGCGCATTTTGCCGCAGAGCAGTGTGAGAGCACGTGCTGGGCACCGACCTTGTAGTGTAAAGCCGGCCAAGAGCACAAGGGAAAACTTTCCGAAAGACTCGCAGCGCGTGCGTCGTCGAAAAGATTACGTCGACAAAAAATTCCGGCGTGGGCCTACCCATCCGCGAGTTGCACACTCTTGTTTATCTACTCTTGCTATTATGTGTGTTAGTATTTGTTCGGTGTATTGAAACTTTAGGTATGAAACAGATGCACTGAAAGTACCGAAAATAAAAGTACATTTACACCGAAAATTTGTGAAATTACAGTACTTTATTATGGCAATCAGCAGAATCAGTGAAGCGGACGTTGGACGTAGTAGTCAACAAAAATATAACATGGATAATAAAATTTCCTAACAAGTTTTTAGAGACATTCATCAGGGAAGTACGTCTCAATAATGAAATCTAGCAATCATTGAAACAACAATATATACGTGGAAGAGTACGAAATGCACTATATGAAAGAAAAATAGGAGAAAAGAAGGTGAAGTGCGAAAGACTAGAGAAGTGTGAACTAATAACAGGGTGGGCAAAGAGAAAAAATATGATGAGGTGAGAAATAATAACAATGTGAGACTCAGAGAGGGTGAAGTGTAAGGAGTACGTCCCGGGATGTTGAGGTAGAACCGCCTCTACTGCCATATGAAGGTGAGCGGCTCCAAGGCAGGACAGCCAGCCGCTCGGCAGGGGCCCGCCTGGCCATCCGGGCTTGTGGCTTCTGGACGAAACAGCAGGATGCCTTTTTTGATATCCGGGTGACACACCCAAAGGCAAGCTTGCTGTCGCGTCGCTAAGTCATCAGCCAGCTCCGAACCCATGAACAGATGAAGACGCGCCAGTACGGAGAGCGGGTGACAGCAGTGGACAGAGGTACATTTACTCCTTTAGTTTTCTCTACCTCGGGCATGATTGGCAGAGAGTGTTCAATGGCTCTGAAGACACTAGCATGCCTGATTGCGGAAAAGAGCGTTGACCTTCACATATCGGTCATCATGGGCAATCTCCGCTGCAGGCTATCATTCTGCCTTATGCGATGGGCAGTCACCTGTTTGCGTGGTTCAAGATCATCTTACCGCCGCGACAGGATGAACTTCACGACTCTGTGCCTGAGCGGAATGGTACCTCACAAACATATGCCGAACATTGTCCCATGAGATACATATATAATTATATGTAGTGAATTCTTGAGTTTTTGGACATTGTGTTGCATTGCTGCTCCATCTATTTGTTTTTCACATCTCTATTTCAATTTTCCTAATAAAGATTGTGTGAAGTAGTAGTAGCTTTTCGAAATCTTCATTCCGAAACCCAGTTTGTTTTCGAATAAAGGCAAAGTTCTCAGTAGTAGTTTTTAGTAGTTTACTAGGGGAGTCCCAACAAGCTATTGCCTTTTTACTGGGAAACCTAGGTGAAGTTTAACCATGTTTATGAACAGAGCAAGAGAGTGGGCCCGTCGACAGTCAGGCCGTGGCACTGCAGTGATGTACTTTTACTGTGCGTGCCTGGTATGGTGTGTTGTTGTTGTTGTTGTCGTTGTTGTTGTTGTTGTTGTTGTTGTTGTTGTTGTTGTTGTTGTTGTTGTTGTTGTTGTTGTTGTTGTTGTTGCCAGGTTCCAGCGTCCACTAATGACTAATGCGAGTGCTGTGGATGATTTTGACCTGTCACAGCCATGGACGTATTTCTTCGGCAGTCGCAGCACCGGCCTAGGTATGGGCAAATCACTGGCACTTGCAACAGCCTGGAATGTGTTACTTTTTTATTTTACTTTTTTTTTATTCCACATCCCATAGCATGTAGTTGCCAATCAAAGAGGAGGGGGTGAGACTTCTATAGAGTCTCTTGTGCCAGCGTTTGCATTCGGGCCCCGGTGATTCAACCATGTTGTGTTCTAAACCTCCGCTCACCCTACACACTATACAACTTGCAGTCATAGTTTACAGAGTGCTTTGTCACTTTCGCATTTGCCCTATTTTGTGTGTGCAGTCTTGACTGGTATATGTAATGTGCATTGGTTTTGCAACCCTTCTATCATCCTTTATCCTGCTCTTAGGCAATGCCAACGGAGCACTTAGTGGACAGCACAATGCCATACCGGTAGCCTCCACTGAGCCGTACACCTCACAGAGCACTGGCTTCTTAGGCAATGCCAACGGAACACTTAGTGGACAGCCCAGTACCACACAGATAGCCTCCACTGAGCCGTACACCTCGCAGAGCACTACTGGCTTTAGCTCTGCGTCCGCGTTGAGCAGAAATGCCATTGTTCAGTATAGTATTCTGGTTTTGGTGATCACTGTGATTTTGTGGGGTTAATGCAGTTAACCCTTGTTAGCGCTCATCACAGACTCCCACTGCTCATTTTCTCATGTTCCTTATACATAGGCATGTCCCTTTTACCTTTGGCACCTGCATACATGTGCAACGTATGCACTGCCGTACACGTCTGCAGGTGCACACTCATGCACTCACTGGGCTACCCAATACGCCTCAGTGCTACATGCAGCGTGCCGCAGCACGCAGGCACCATATAAGGTACACAGGGCAGTGCGCCTGTCCCGGCTCCGGGTCACACTTACAGCTCAGCACGCATGCAGGTAAAAGGTTTCACAGAACTGTGCGCCTGTCCTGGCTCCGGTTTGTACTTACAGCTCAGCGATCAGAAATATATTTTTCTATTACAGCAGTTTGGAGAGCTCAAACTGTTTAGTTGTTGTTTTCTGCCTCTTGCTCCGCAGTAGTGGTTGGCTTGTGAATTCTTTTTCCCACCATCCCACCCTTACCACTATCTATAACTAGGACCTCACTACCGGTCCACTCTTCACAATAAACACCGGGTGCTGGCGCAACTCTTAACGGCAATGGTTTAACTCGTTCAATCACTCCGTGCTCTATGTTAAGTCAACACACGCGCTCTATGTTGAGCCACCATACGCGCTCTATGTTGAGCCACTCACTCTCTCGCGCTCTATGTTGAGCCACTCACTCTCTCATGCTCTATGTTGAGCCACTCTCTCTCTCTCTCTCTCTCTCTCTCTCTCTCTCTCTCTCTCTCTCTCTCTCTCTCTCTCTCTCTCTCTCGTGCTCTATGTTGAGCCACATTGCCTCACTCGCAGCCAGCACCCGTATAACTCCAAACTCTGTGCCCTGTGTGTTGGTGTACTTCATAGCGGTGTAGCATCTGCATCTGCATGTGGGATGTGGGATGTGGGCTAACATAAGTTTTCAGTGCGTTTTACAGTGTCCGTTTTTGCGGCATGCTCTGTTTCTGTTTTGATATGCGCGTTATCCTGTTTGACTCTTGCATGTGTATGATTCGTTAGTTCCGTGCATGCTGGCTCTCCGCGCTGGCTGTGCGCCCCGAGTAGATGTTTGTACGCATGCTATCTTTGCGTGGCTTTTTTGATTTTTCTGCTATGCTGGTCTTGTTGTTCGGTGGCATAATTTGTAGTGTGGTTTCGTGACGAGTTCGTTTTGTTTGCCTTTGAGAGTTACAGTATTTTAGATCAGTCGATTCGAGAGACTACTTTGCCGAGTTTAAAGGGGAAGTTAAGGCAAAAATTAAAATTTCACCAGTTGTAGTCTTCGGGGTGCTGAGTCGAATGGTCTTGGTCCGAGGAAGCTGAGACGCTCCCTTCCTACTTGAATCCCAATCGAACTCGCGCACTTCCACCGAAACTGGGTGACTGCGCCCTACTAGATGGGGATTTGTATGCAAAATGTCACTAAAAGCGCCATTTCGTTCTTATAAAAGCACGGATGACCGCGATTGGCCCATATGTTGTAGTCTTTTGGACGCTGAGTCGACTGGTTTTGGTCCGAAAAGGCTGCGATGCAGCGTTCCTCCTTTATTCCCAATCGAACATGGTTGAACAAGCGGTCACTTGCTCCTGGGTGCCCAAATCACCTGGTCACCACGCCAGCAGGCGACAAATTTCACACCAAGGTTCAACTCGAGTTCAACTCGAGTGACAGGAGTGCACCCAAAAAAGGTCAAACAGGCTAGTAAGTTGTACCCTGCAGGCACGGTGACCAGGTGACTGGCGTACGCAGGAGCACGTGACCGCTTGTTCAACCATGTTCGATTAGGAATAAAGGAGGAACGCTGCATCGCAGCCTTTTCGGACCAAAACCAATCGACTCAGCGTCCAAAAGAGTACAACATATGGGCCAATCGCGGTCATCCATGCTTTTATAAGAATGAAATGGCGCTTTTAGTGACATTTTGCATACAAATCCCCATCTAGTAGGGCGCAGTCACCCAGTTTCGGTGGAAGTGCGCGAGTTCGATTGGGATTCAAGTAGGAAGGGAGCGTCTCAGCTTCCTCGGACCACTACCATTCGACTCAGCACCCCGAAGACTACAACTGGTGAAATTTTAATTTTTGCCTTAACTTCCCCTTTAAGGGCGAGTTGAAATGGAACCAATTATTACCAGCCGTCAAGGCTCTTGGTAGGTAAGAGGGCTGTGAGGCTGTTGCAACAGGTGATCCAGTGACTGCACATACAGTTGTGCTCGGCGTAATCCGACGCAGCGTGCATATTTGGCGCCCTCAACTTGCACGACCCTGGCCTTGGCGCCCTGCAGAAGTGGAGCGAATGTTGCTGGACGTACACAATCGTCATGTACAAGAAGTACAGTGATGTAATCGGAACTGGTCCAGGACGTCAGTTTTGCACTTCGGGTTGGATTTCACTGAGCGCAACTGTAGCAAATTAGTATTTCCACAGCCTACCTATTTTATGCAGAAAGAGAGAAGAAGAGATGCGGCCATGAGAATTGAAAATCAGTTCTGTCCTAGGCATATTATTACTGATATCAGATGGTGCTGGCATGGACCGGCGCAGCGAGTATCGGTATGTTCCTTGCTCGCGACATGAAGAAGGCGTGGGTCAGCAAGCCTTACTGGTTCCTGGTAGGTGCAACCATACCCAATAATCGCTTCAGTTCAGTTTGGGATGTCAAATACAGTCAACTCTGCTAATAACGACTGCGGATATAATGAAAATTCGCGAATAACGACAGAATTCCCATGCCCAGACCAAAGTCCCGGTCCCATCTAACTGCAGGGTTCTAGCCAAGGGGGGGGGGGGGCGCAGCGCCCCCTACTTATTTTCCGATTTTGTGTTTTTTTCATGCCATTCAACTCGAATGCAGTCGATAGTCAGTACTAGAGTGTTCATAAAGGCACATAGTCATTTGTCTGGGGTGAAGTCAGGGTCATTTGTCTGGGGTGAAGTCAGGTGTACACCCTGTACACACATTTGTCTGGGGTGAAGTCAGGTGTACGCCCTGTACGTTGCATTCCGCATTAGAAGACAGTTATTCTGAAAATGGAAAAATGGCCCGCGGGTCACGGGGTAACTGTTTCCCCTGCCCCCCCCCCCCCCCCACTATTTTGACCTGGCTAGAACCCTGAACTGTAATACATAATTATTATACCGGTAACAGGACACTTTTCTGATGCCCCGCCGAGTGTCGCTAGCAAAGTTGGCTAGTGTAGATTCATTGAATTTGTAGTCAATGACATTGACGATGGCAGCTACATTTGTAGCTGTAGAGTGTAGGTGACATTATTTTTTATGTGGTCTTTATAATAATTATAGCAATTCTTCTCTTACCGGTAAATTTTATACTTCCTGGCCGTGAGTACTGCACTGACAGTACTAGCGAGTAGGCCGCCTCGGTTGTCCTTCTTCAAGTAGTTCTTGACTGCTGTTGTCATGGATGGGACGTGGCGACTACGGACTAGCGTAGCTCATGTCAAGACAACACTCGACGTATAAACCAGGTAACCTGGTAACAATCGTAGGCACTTCAGTCACGTGACAGGACCTGTCAAAATTTGCTAAGGTGAGAGTGCGTACTTGCGTGGCACCAGTCAAGTGCATGCGCAAAACTGTACAGGTACGCGCTATGCTTCGTTGTACGGGCTGATAGTTGGGCGCATCGTGTTGCTCTGACGTTCAGCTTTCAGTAGATCCCGCATACGTCATAGTGCGTACATTTTTGCGAGTTGTAGATCACGTACACTACCAGCAAAGAGTTTTTTCACAAAGAACTGTTGTTTGCTCGCGTTTGAAACGCTGCTTATCGTCTTCAGCGTCGTCTTTCCATTCAGAAACAGTAGAGTTCTTGTTTGCCAGGGCTTGCGCATCGCTGCGCAAGGAGACATTATGTACGTAGGCACTGAGAAGTATGCGCTTTAGGCGGAGGAGAACGACGATGCGTCGTCCTACCTGGGCGAATTCTCAAAGCGTACTGAAAGCCAAGTTTTGACACGGTTGCGCTGAAAGGCCTACTGATGTTTACGAACAATCAAAAGGCACAGTGGCTGCTGGAGAAACCCTCTGATGAGGGGATGCTTTGATATACGCAGCCAGGCACGCTTCACCAAAATTTCAAAGCTCACCAGCAGGCAATTCATGACTGCTGCATGGAGCAGTTGAAGGAGAGGGAGGCAGATATCACACCAGGGAAAGAAGCTACCAACAGAGGTCCTGAGGAACTTCTTGCCAACTTGGAATCACTTGAGATGGCATGACTGTGGGCACGAATGTCCTGTGCAGTAATTCGCGCGCGCGCGCGCGTACTTACCCTCCACGTTGCGGTGTACGGCGTACAACGAGGAAGTTCTCTGTTGTTTTTGTGCCAGAAGAATGTCTTTATAGCTCTTACGCTTTAGTACCCGCAGGAGCCTGCCAGTATGTCGTTATCAGTTCATTTCACAGCAAACTGAAGCTGTTACTATGGGTTACTATGGCGTTGCTATGGGTTGCTATGGAGTTGCTATAGTGATTGCGGTCACAATTGCCGTATTCTTGCCTATTCTGAACTTTGATCTGTATTGTTTCGATCCATACAGGGTTGTTGGTGTAAGTGAGTGATGTGTGCTTGAAAAAAACACTCTGATGTTTTGTGACTATATCCACTGATGATACTTCGGAGATGCTGTTGGTGCCACAAATTGTATTGATTTCGCCTTATGCAACTGCCTATCTTCAACCCTTCATATCTGAGTGGTATCACTGTGGATTTCAATAAAATTTTCTGTGTGACCTTGTGATACCCACCACCATCGATTACCGATGATAAACCTGGAAAAAACGCGATTTCAAAAAATGGGGTGAAGTGCCTAACAATCGATGTCCGATCAAGTCCGAGCAGTGGCGGATCCAGGGGGGGGTTCCATGGAACCCCCTAAATTTTGCAAAGTGTGCGGCTGAGAAATATCGAAAATATCATGTGTGCACAAAAGGACGTCCGTCCGATCACAGTCAATGCAGTCACTAGATCACTGAGTCAAGGAGCACAGACTGTCAGTCAGTGCACTGCATGCGCGTGCGGTAGATCGATACTGTACGGATAGTAGTCTGTACTGGTGTTCACGTCCGTGATTTACAAACGGACACTGTAGACAACTTTGGGTGGTTGCTTCCTTTTTGATCTTTCGAAACGATCCAAACTATTACCTACCTCCATTGGCGCTGTCATTCACTGCTGCTCAGGACGGGTGTGGTGTGGTCAGTATTCCTTCGGGACAAGTTTTTTTGCAGAAGAGAAAGGATGTTCCGAGTACTGACATTCTTCAACGAACTTCGAACCGTACACGTAGAGTTCAAGCTCCTCAGAAGATGAGGGCTCCGACATCCAAGCAAAGTCAGTAATCCCTGTAATTTGTATACAGGTTTTCCATCGTCCACCACACCACAACTGCGCTCCGACTCAGTCTCCAGCGATGCTGGTGTGCTGTGGCAACGACTTACGTGTCGAGGCCGGCTGGAGAGCGCAGTTGTGGTGTGGTCGATGATGGAAAAATATAATAATAATATTATGTCCGTAGTGTGTTTTAAAAGCATGCGATTCCCACTAAGGGGTCGTCCGCAATTATCGAAAGTTTTTTCCAATCCGTAGTAGCTTCAAATTTTTCCTCACCCACCCACCCACCCCCCCAGTCCGTAATAAAATATTATTGATGGACACACAACCCAACACATATGGAACAAACTCGTCCATTCCTTTTTCGCTTCGGCAAAGAATACATTCTTGTTCGTCGTCTTGGACAACTGCCACAAGCAATTTATTGTTCTGTAATAATCAGAGTCACCAGCGGTTTTGAAAAAGGGCTGCTTCTTCACCGCCTTTCCAAACAACGTCGCCTGTCTGGACATAGTCAATAACAGTCGTCAGCGCCAGCGCTAGACAGAAGGACTTCAAAGGAGTGCATGGAAGACGGTACTCTGGACGAAGGAGACAGTGAAACTCAAAAAATAGAAAGTGTCGACTCGCCGTCGAATGCGCCGAACTTTATGATCCCCGGCCCAGGAGCAGCCAAGGAAGCGCGCGCGGGGGCGCAGAAACTGCCAGAACTACAAAAAATATTTGTAGTAGACAGTACTAGTTCGCGCGCAGCCGCGCGTGGAAAACAGGGGCTACACGTAGACGTACACGTGGCACGCGCACGTGTCATTTCGGAAGTTTTTCAATCCGTAACTGGCCTTGACCCACCCACCCACTTTCGAAGCTACTACGAGGTGAATAGCAATTTCTGGACATGAAAATAAAATAGAGGCCCACTGGCTATGTGTTTTACATTTTTCATATCCTTTTGTATCTATTGTATGGCCTAATCCTTCATCTTTCCAAATATGTGACAATTGCTCATGCTGTGAACCCAGAGACTTTATAGCAGGTTGTTTTCGACAGGCCAATTTTTTGGCCTAAATTTCACTGTATGGAATTCTGGACATGAAAGTAAAATAGCGTCAACAGGCATCCTATACTGCACCATTTTTGTTATTTTTCTATATTGGACTGCAGTTGGCCTCTTTACACTTCCAGCCAACAGGTCCAAGACTGTATAGCGCCTGAAGTGGAGTGCACATGGGGAAGCCAACGATTCGTCCATTACTTCTTATTTTACTCAAAATTCAAAATTCTCATGCGACATAGTCTCACAAAACTCGTTGAAATGCCTCCCAAGAAAAGGCTATCAACGAGGCACTGACACGAGGAGAAACTACAACAGCTCAGCTGCCAACTACAACAAGAAAAAACGTTATCAACCTGACTGACTTGACTCTGCACGCGACGAAAAATTATTTTACTCGAAATGTCCAGAAATGTACAATGTCCAGAATTAGCAATTCACCTCGTACGGATTGGAAAAAACTTTCGATAATTGCGGACGACCCCTAACACAATCGGATTGTCGTAGTTTTACAAGTGTCAACCGCACAACTTCAAAACAATCTGATTCCATATGTTCAATTTTGGCTCAACCGGAACCCCCCTGTAGAGATCTCTGGATCCGCCCCTGCCGAGTGAGTAGACTGACCATGCATTTCAACAACAACAACAACCATGCCATCCATGGCTAGTCTGTCACCAATGCGTAGACGGTCACAGATTCATTGAAAAAAAACGTCAGTTTGAGATACAGACAGTGTAGCTCTGTCGGTAGCTCTACGCTACAGTCAGTACACTGTACAGTAGTACGAGTACTGAGCTCGAGGGAGACGTGCTTGCCCTGGCTTGGACAGTTGGAGTCGGACTCCCTGGACACCACATCCGAGATCGATAAAAATTCCACTCAGCTCAAACCACAGTCCGTAATGTCTTTCCAAAGTAAGTTTCTTTTTGCTACAGACTCAGTAGGAGTGTATGACTCGTCGCCTAGAGTGAAGTCACGTCAGTGAAGTCAACTGCATCGGCGGTCTTTTGCTAACCATTGAAGCAGGTCAGACACGAGGCTGCATCAGGCTTCACTACATGTAATAACTAATAATAATAATTGCTCCCTATTGCTAGTATGGCTGCGAAGCGCAAGGCATACACGGACGAGGACAGTATTGCCGCATTCGAGCGCTGCGAAGGTGACTGGAAGTGGCGCGAGGATCGCAAGCGACTCGAATTCCAGCCGAAGATCAGCCCGGCACAGCCGTAAGTTTTCCAGCGCGTGACGAATGGAAAAGCGAGATTGTGAATGGTCGCCGGGTGCATGATGCATGGTGCATGGTGCAGACGTTAGACAAGTCGGGTACATTACATGCCATGGCACGTCCGACGAGTTGACTGTGCACTAAACTAAGGACTCGGTTGATGAGCTGCGAGAAGGACACCATATTCATGGTGTGATGGACGATATCTCCATCACAGGATAAAGCAAAGAAAATGGATGGATATCACAACGGCCGCTAACACCCGGTAAACCCTGTGTGTTAGCGTCCCCTTACCCCAGCTTGAGGCACTGCATCTGCCGCTAGGGTTTCAGTGTCCGCTCTAGGATTGTAGGACAGCCGGGTACACGTGTACCTGGCGCAACCATTTCAACCGGGTCGGAGCCGGGTACACATGTACCTGGCGCTGTCTCACCAGCCGAGTCACATGCTTTAACTGGTTGGTTGGTTTATTTTAATTCGGACAATAAACGGGAACTAGGCCCAATGATATAAAGGCGAATGGATAAGCCGCATTTAGAAAAGAGAGGACAGGAATTAGAAAATTACGAAAGAAGAAGAAGTATCTGACACATACAACTTACAGTGTACAAGCCATGTAGTTAGTCCTTTCAAAGTTCGAAAGTGTAAAGTACCAACCGGGTCACAGGTGACCCGGTACTATATTTTCAACCGGGTCCAAGCGCCGCCCAACCATTACCCGGCTCACCCGGCGCTGGAGCAGACACTGGGTTTACAGGGTTATCACAGGATATCACAGGAGTAAAAATTAGTGAAAGGAACGAAAAGAGGACCATGTGGACTGGTAGACTTATGTACGATCACGGATGGTAGATCTACAATGTATAGGCCTCGACAATGTCAAAGAAATTGAATAGAGTGTGAGTCGGACATACCAAGACTGATAGGGCATGGGGGCCACATGCCCCCCCCCCCCCCGGCCCTAAAAGAGGGACCAGCTACGCCCCTGATCTGTTTCCACAGAAATAACTGAGTTCCCTGCAACACTCACAGAGTGCATACTTGTAGGTTGGTGTATGTACAGGGATGAATTTACTGTCACATTTTTACATAGCAGTTTCTGCTATACGAAATCACAATTGTGTAGCAGCCTTTGATCTTGATTAGCATTTTTCTTTGAAGGTTGGATGTTTACCACATTATCCTTCTTGAGAGTGATGCCCGTGAAAGCCCATTTGCAGAAAAACGACTGAAGCATACATGTGCACGCAGATTGAGAGTACCTGAAAACACATACACTGCACAGTATGCATGTTACTTGACAGCGCAGTCTACGCATGGATAGTCTGTATGTATCACAATTTTCTGCGAGTCATGGTGACTTTTGAGTAGCAGTAGATCAATTTTGCATCGCAAACTGCGATGCGATACAGGGTAAATTCATCCCTGATGTAAGCCTTGTTTGGTAGATTAACACAATCACACTTGTGGCTTGTAGTCTTAGCGTCCTGTCTTGCCATCATGACTCTCTCAGTCTCTGTTTATAGTACGGAGCACATCTTCAGTGTGTTCACACCAGTAGTGACAGACTCCACACCCTGCTGCATTGCTTAGATTGGTGTGTGTGTGTGTGTGTGTGTGTGTGTGTGTGTGTGTTTCCATTCCTGGCCAACTCGAATGGCGCCTACCCACAGTCACAACTACTTGTACATTCACACATTCACGCTGAAGCATACTAACTAGCGGCATATAGGCCAGCTCAGAACAATGAAAAGACAATCTTGTCTGATGATCGCCCAGCACGTGAAGCTTCACGTACAGCCTAACTGAGTTACTTGTATTCGTGTTGCTGAGCAGATAATGTGATTACCCCACTGATGGTGAGTACCATAGTCTACACCGGCACTGTGTATTGTCGATCACATGCAGTCTGACTCTCTCATTGGCATTGCATCTGCAGCTTGCGCAATGACGATGATGGGCAGCAGGACATGCTAGTATGGCCAGCATGCAGAGCACGCGTGACATGGCCTAGACTGTCCACCGTCTGGGACACGTTTGGGTAGGTCACAGGAAAATGTACTGATCCTGCTGATGTGGCGTGTGCAGTCCGTATGGCATATAAGGTTATAGTGACCAGCTTCTCAAATTCATTTTCATTTGCCATGACTAAGTATACATGTACGTAGTTACCGCATAAAATGTTAGCAATAATTGTCTGTAGTGACATATCACCAAGAGTACATAACCCCCAAGAGTGTGCAACTCCAGCTATGGGGTCTGCGACGGCAGAACTTCACATCACGTGATGAACCCGTACACATTATTTGCACTCTGTGCATGATAGATACAGGGTTGTACGCAACCCAGCTTCGGGTACAACTCTCTTGTGGTCACTTTGACTTTGCACTGTTTGCCAGCATAACCTTTTGAACCATGTCACGTGATGTGAAGTTCTGCCGTCGCAGCACAGCATAGAGGTTGTGCAGGCAGTTGCACACTCTTGGGGGTTATGTACTATTGATATCACCTATAGAGCTTTTTCAAGGACGCCGCTCCCGCCATCGCCCCTGTGCTCACCCCGAGATTGTGGTGAACAGGTCGCATCATGTCAAAACACATTGAAAAGTATACGAAATCTGACAGGTTCGTCTCCACCAGCGCTTGGAGCGATTCTGAAGCTTGTTCTTTTTCGCCCAAGCCATGGAAGGGCTTACTGGCAACTGCTCTGACTCAACACGAGTGTCGGACATCAAGTGGAGCGCCATTCTTCGCCTTCTTCCACCTCCACACATCCATTCCCATACAAAGTGAACATGAACTGGGCTTCGTCTGTTCACCAGTGATTCAAAAATTTCTCGCACGTGACCCCAAAAAGTGACCGTTGGCCCAACCTGGAAGAAGCTCTACCGCGATTTAATTCAATTTTCAAAAGACCTCTATTACATAATTTTTGCATCGGTTAAAGTAATTGATGGGAAATCAAGCGGTGTCAGAGGTGAAAAGAAGTTATTTTATCGAATAAAGAAAAGGACCAAGGAACTACAAGTTACGCTATAATGTCCACTAATACCACCAGTCACTTGACAATCACCTCATGCGATAACTTTGCGCAAATCATTGGCTCTCCATCCGAGTCTATCCTTGCACACCTGATGAGGATTGTCCAGTGTTGTTTCATGAGCTCTACTTGCAGTACCAGCTGTCCAAAATGCCTCCGTCATGAGGATATGCTGACATAACAGGGGCGTCGGAAGGTAATTTAGTGTGGCACGGTCAGCCATCTGAAGTACAGTCAAATCTGTCGTAAGCGACCGCCCCTTGGTGCAAGAAAAAGCGGTCTTTTACGGCAGATGGTCTCTTACGGCAGATGTATGGTAAATCCGGCATACCGGGCATGCATAATTATATGCTTCCATGTACTCAAGTCGACGAGAATAATGTGATTTTTAATATCATTTTATTGGATATTCAATAGAATTATAGGGGTGCACAAACCCAAGAATAGTGCACATACCAGGGCTAATCTTAAGTTGAGAGCTACAGCGCAGCCTCAGTACAGGCCAGGGCCAGTCGATCGCACTTGCAAGACAGCGCATTTTCACACCTTGCAGTTGACAGCGCACTGGCAACTACAGTTTCGCACCTGACTGAACCTGGGTCGCGGTCGCTTACAGCAGATTTGAATGCAGCCATTGTGCATGAAATCGCGGTCGCTGGTCGCGCACAGCAGATGGTCGCTCTGGACAGATCAGTTTGTATGTGAAACCGTCGGTGCACGGAAAATCGGTCGCTAACGGTAGATGGTCGCCTACAGCAGAGGTCGCTGACGGCAGATTTGACTGTACAATTTACTCGTGGGGGATGGGTGGCTGAGCTGAAAATTTTGGAAAATTAGAGACCAAATCAGTGCAATTTATTGATTCACGGGGTACTTGGATCTAATAGTGGTACGGTCAACACCGTAGTGACCGTACCGTGTGCGATGCCCCTGCATAACCGCGTCGTTGATTATCGATAGACGGATAGGCAGCAGCCCTGCAGCAAAGAGATTAGTTACAGGAGCATATAGGTTGATACTGTGCCTTAGTTATACATGACCTTACATGGCCGAGGTTGACCTTACATGGAACGTTTACACAGCCATGGTGAACAGAAGTGGTGTCGGGGTCCAGAGAACCATGCCTCCCATAGTATACTTTATACAATCACTAGCAGCACCCGGCCAGCGTTGCCTGGCCGAACGTGGCATGCGGGTGAAGCAAGTACATGAACAGCACATTGCTGTGTAACACCGCATGACCGGGTAGTTGTTTATCAGCAGTTATAGAACTGAGATTTACAATAGTGAAGGCTCATCCAATTATTGGGAAATTGTGCCTTAGGCATGTTGAGACATGTACGTACATGTACATGTGGCAGCTTGGACATAGAGAGTGTACTTGTGTTCAGCATATGGGATGATGGGATGCTTCATCCTCGAACAATAATGCGAACAGTAATGCGCAGCATGGTGAGTGAATGGAATCACGTATAGAGTTCTCAGTTATTGGGATTAGTCAGCCATGACAACAAATCGTCGGCAAAGTACTGCGGCACACCCGCAGGAGACACCAAAAAAATTCAAGGCAGGAGACACCATGCCCTGCACGAAACTGCTAAAGCGTGGCCTCAAGAGACCCCAGAAGAGGCAGAACAAAGGCAAAGTGGAAACCCAATGCAAGGAAGCCATAGGTCACTGGAGACGCAAGGGAAGGAGGTTCGGTAGGCAGTTGGATCAGAGGAAGCTGCAGGTAACAGAGATCTTACAGGGACAAATGCAATGGTTATGGAGACTCCCCCTCCCCTCCCCCTCCCCCCTCCCCCTCCCCCATCCCCCTTCTCCCCCCTCCCCCCCTCCCCCACACACCATGCGGTATGTGGCACCTTCTTCTGCTAGAGGCCTGTGGGCATGACGTGCAGTCACTGTAGTGCAGCCGGGTAAACTACATTTCTCGTTTTGCCGTCATTGCACAAAATGTGAAGGTTGTCTGGATTACCTACCCGTGAGCAACCCACATAAAACTGTCCATGAGCAAAGCATGGTGTTGTTAGGTCCAAACCAACAACCTTCAGGGACTGCCATTGGGACTTGTTTATGGTCATGCAAAAGCAGACACGGAGTGGGAACTGGACACGTCGAAGTTGGAATGGCAGATTGGTGGATGTCGTGGGTATTTTCGGTATGTACACCAGTTCTCCTGCACCCGACCCAGTCAAAATCTCAGCTTCAATTACATGTCGCTGGATGCGCTTCACAATTAATCTTGTGCCATTGCCAAAGTTTGGCGCATCCAGGTTCCTGAGAAGCATGACCGGCACACCCACTTTGAGCTGAAGCAGGTGACTTGGTAAGCCTGAGGGGTTACAGGAGTTCAGGAATTCAACAGGGTAATCACCAGAGTCGTCAACTTCGACAGTGTCAACAGACTCGTACTGGACCAAGTCACCTGGCAGTTTGTGCATGAGTATCCCATTCATGTCAGTGACAGTGTCATTCAAAGGTGCAAGGATAGCTCTTTCTTTCAACCAAGTGGGATCTACAAAATTGTTCGCGACATCAGGGTAGATTATTCGTACAATGTCTTCTTGGGAAGCAGCAATCTGTGCGAGATCACCCGGAACCGCAATTTCGCCTGAAGGCAGAACGGGTAATGCACCGTTGCCGACTTTAAGGAGCTGCGCAGAGAATTGACCCGCATTGGTATCACTGCTACGCAGAACTCGCATGTTTGTGGTAAGTGTGTACTTCACCACGGAACGCCAGAGCGCCGAAGACTTGGTGCAGGCATTGATCTCATCAGCAGAAGTGCCTCTAGGAACAATAGGCAACGTTTGGCGAAAGTCACCGGACATCACAACCGTCACACCACCCATCAAGGAATTAGAGCTGCGCAGGTCTCGCAAAGTCCTGTCGACAGCCTCGAAAGCATGCTTGTGTGACATCGTGCATTCGTCCCACACGATCAGCACACCCTCACGAAGGAGCGCTGCTTTCTCAGAATCTTTGGCGATCGAGCAGGTTGGCTCCTCAAGGCGGTGCAGATCTAAGGGCAAAGCGAACGTGGAGTGAGCAGTCCGACCACCAGCCAAGAGTGTGGCTGCTATTCCGGAAGAGGCAACAGCCAAGGCAACGTGTCCACCTGATCTAACCTTTGCAAGAAGTAAGTTTGTGACGTACATCTTACCTGTACCACCGGGTGCGTCGAGGAAAATCAACCCACCGTCACTTGTCTGTACCTGGTCACAAATTGCGTCATACGCCAAACGTTGATCGTCGGTTAGTGTCGGTTCTTGTTGTCGTACTTGCTCAAGCAACGCGGCACGGTCGTAGTTGGTCTCCCTTGCAAGAGGCTGGTCGGACAGAGTTGAACTTGCCTGTGATGGGTCTGGAAGGCCTGCACTTACCAAGGTTCTACCGCACATGGTGAGAAGGTGTGTCTGGATGGCGCAAAGGCACTGATCGAACTCCATCTGAGAAAATGTTCGCGCCTCATTCCCTTCCTGTCGACGCGCCGCCTGCAAATAATCTTCTGACATTGCCTCACGGAATTCATTCCATAGTCGCAAAGGATCACTAACTTCGCAGAAGGACATCATGATGGAAAAGAGGTGCCTGATCGCAGCTGGATGGCTGGACTCGGCAGCCTGAAGCAAGGCACTGAGCCAATGCTCGTCGTCTTGCAGCAGACCCCGAAGCTGACAGGCTCGGGCAATGGCCTCTTCATCGTCGGACGACGTTATTGATGAGGACCGGCGGCGTCTTTTCCCAGACCGCTGAAGTCCTGGTGAGGGAGGTTCTTCATCGTTGGAAGGAGAAGGAGGGACGTCTGTTACGCCTTCGGGAGGCTGGTCAGGGTTGTCCATCACCTGGTGGCGGATGAAGCGGCTCAAAACATGAAAAAGTGCAAAGCGTCGCCTAGGTCAAGTCTTCAACTTCAAGTTTTTTGTATTTGCAGAGAACGGTTCACGTGGAAAAGGAAGCTGTAGATCTTTTGTATCCTTTTTTTGGAGATCTTTCTATTTGCAGAGAACGGTTCACGTGGTCCGTGGAAAAGGTAGCTGCACGATGCAGATCAGATGCAGAGTGCAGTCAGTGCAGATCTTTTGTATCCTTTTTTTTGCAGATGTTTCTATTTGCAGAGAACGGTTCACGTGGTCCGCAGCGCTTGTGCGGCTGCTAGTGCTACCTATGGCCTAGGCTAGGTGGCTACACGATTCGCACGCTTCGCGTGCTCAGTGCTACTGCTACTCGTACTGATCGTGTCTGCTAGCTACACTGTTCGCACGCTCCGCGTGCTCAGCACGTGGTGGTAGCTACACGATTCGCACGCTTCGCGTGCTCAGTGCTTCTGTGGCTGCTTCCGCTAGCTACACGATTCGCACGCTTCGCGTGCTCAGTGCTTCTGCGGCCGCTAGCTACACTGTCCGCACGCTTCGCGTGCTCAGGGCAGCGCTGCTCCGCAGCGCTTCTGCGTAACACACAGACAAACACGTCACAGGCGCCTCTTCTTTATAAGTATAGATGTTATGAAGCTATAAGGCCATGGTAAAAAATAAAGTTGATTCTCAGGTCATGAGCCTGTGAAAATCGGTGCGAGCGAGCGATTTTTTATTTTAATTCCCACAATTTTTTTATTTCCAAAGATAGGGTCACACATGTGTACGTCACAGGTTCATAATTAATTTATAATTATTTTATTATTCAGGCCAGGGAGTAGAAAAATACCGGTATTTTACTACTCCCGGATTCATACCTTTCGCATTGACCGTTTTCATGCATGCATATGCATGCATAGAAATAAAAAAAATCGTCGGTGCGCCGCCAAAAATCGATGCGCGCGTACTTGAGAATCAAAGGTATTTTTTACCATGGCCTAATGCAAACACCTAAGCAGGTTCTGGGCGTATAGCTCAGTGGTAGAGCAATCGACTGCAGATCGATAGGTCCTTGGTTCAAATCCGACTGTGCCCTGTTATAATTTTTTTGCCGCCTTCCAAGCTTTAGCCCACATTCTTTTTCACCCGTGCAGAACCGAGCCAGAGACACCGAGCCGCCAGGAGAAGCCAGCTGTAATCAAGGCATGCGAGGGCTGGATGCAAGCGTGCATGGCACCTGTTTCCATGGATATGCCACAGCGCACCGGTCGGCTCAACTTACAGGGACGCAAGTCCTACTTCAACCTGCCGCTCCAACGCCAGGCATCCGTCATCAACACCTCCCGGCACATGAGTCGCCGCGACCTGTTTGCACCGTCCGACTGTGGCTCAGTGGCCGCGTCCATTAAGAGCCAGCCGTCGGGGAAGCTGGTTGCGGCGAAGCTGACCTACACCAGAGAGGGTCCCGTCACCCTGGAGATTGTGAAAGGTACGTAACACACTTCCGACACGATGATAGGAGTGAAGCCTATGTGCGGGCATCATCACTATAAGTATGATAGGAGTGAACTGCCTATGTGCGGGCATCATCACTATAAGTATGATAGGAGTGAACTGCCTATGTGCGGGCATCATCACTATAAGTATGCCTTCTTCATTTCATCATAGCGGTAAGTTACATGTATGGACTTGTGCGTGCTATTCACGGAGTAGAAAGCCCAATTCTATGAATTCTTACATGACACGTATCGTTGCCCAGGCCATTGTCAATAGTAAATAGATAATAGTAAATAGATAAATAGGTAAATAGATAGAGGCCGCAGTATCACAATCAGGGTAAAGCGCTACTTTTAATTGGGAGGTAGACAGTTTCGCCTTTCGACCTTTGACCCTCACCTCATGTAAGAAACCAAATCCAGCGCACCCGGTGTGTGGTACCGGTCATGTTTGCTGAGATCTTGCCCTTGAAGGTGACCCTCGGGGCCTATGACCCTTGGGCTATGTCCTTAGGTAGGGTTCATGGGTCATGACTACCAAGTACCAGCCTGAGACTATCATGCTTGATTACGAAAGTACTGCGAGCACAAGAACATACAGTGATATGCGTCTAAGACGACCGCTCAAGGGACCTTCAAAAAATGTGGTCGTTGTGTAGAGAGGAGGGGGAGTTGGCATGATTGTTGTCATAGTGTAAGGCTGGAATGCAAGGTAGAATACAGAACGCAGCTTGTAGTCCAGTAAACTATGTAAGCGCCAATCATGGCGGCAAATTGTTGAAACCGCCTGTGAATTCCATGCATGCCAGTGTGCTGGTGAAGCCTGGTCATGACTGGCATTGTGTCAGGTCAGTATATGTACTATATAGTACAATGCCCACTGTTTTGTAGCTGTGCACTGTGGGCTCAGAGTAAGAGTTAGTGATCTCCCCCACCAGTCACCATGGTCACATAGCAGCTGCCAAGGAGTGAAGCCTACTGGCTGGTCGGTCCGCTGAGGAAATTGATGATAAGCAGCAAAGACAGGGCATGCGGGAAGTGGAGAATAACTCAATTGTATTGAATGATGTGCTGCATGGTGGTATGCCGCAGCGAGCAGCCAACTCTAAGTGTAATCATGCCTCTCTTTCAACACTAGCTATTCACCTGCCCCTGAAGCGGGACGGGGTCATGGCAGCTATGCTACTTGTGTCATTGTGATACATCACGTGTCACCAACACAGAATACAAATTGTTCACCCAGAAATCAGGATTGTTGGTATCAACTCAGAGCCGGCAACACATCATGCCGCCTGATGCTCACTCAGCGTGAAAACTCTGAATTGAAGTGCACCTGGCGATCCTGACTTCTGTAGTAAAGAGCGTTATTGAGCACTATTTCGAACAGTGGTGGAAGTCGGTTGCTATGTGAAAATTGTTCACAGAGGTTGCATCGCTGGAACTGGATTTGGACACAGAGAGTCCGTCTCGTGATCTCTTTGATCTCATAAGGTTAGTGTCGTAGTCTGCATTGTCTACATTGCAACCGTATAGCACTACCATCATAGTGTTCAGTGCATTACTGTAGGTGACTAGCACGTCATGATACTAGCACGTCATGATACTAGCACTTCATGATACTAGCGATTGGCATGACTATACAACATTGATGATCTTCATGGAGCTGTGGTATGGTCAAGCAAAACGCCGGGCAAAACGCCGGGCCGGAATCTCGATTTATTTAAAAGGTCATTGGTACTGCAGAATTTGATTGTCTGTATAATTTTGGAGCTTATGTACTTGCAACTTTTTCCCTTTTCATTCCCTGCGACGATGAATTAGATAACTGCTTCACAGCCCTTGATAACCATCTAACTGAGGTTGGGGTTGAGGTCATTGGTAGCCGCATGCGTTCGCTGTATTGCATGGCAGTACTAGTGTGCCTTGTTCTATCAACTTGCATGATTTTAGTGGGCGTTGGAAATATGATGCAAAGGGTGTCGTGTCGTTTGGAGCCATGTCAATTGGCTGCTCGACCTTGGTATGCCCCCCCCCCTCCCTCCCATCCCTGTCGGCCTTATGCAGTCGCTGTGGACACTGATTCCAGCCTATTCTTTTGCGTGTGCTTCTGTGTGCAGGTTACGCGCATTCGACGAATTCCTCGTGGCGTCTCTGCTGTACATGGATGCTTTTCTGCGATTAAGGGACGTCAAGGAGAGGGTGGAAGAGGCAGGGCACGGCAGCTTCTTTGCGGAAGTATCCGGGTTAGTCATGCCATAAGGCCTACTGGTCACCAAACTGTTGCTGCACTGTAGTTGTGGCAGAATAGTGACGATAGTGTAATGTTAATTCAAATGAATACTTATGAATATCAAATGAATACTTATGAATATCAAATGAATACTTATGAATATCAAATGAATACTTTTTAAAAGAGGTTACTTGTATGATTATTAACACACCACAGTGATATATTGTGTGTAGTGAAATTGACATACGGTTTTGTTGGACATGCGGCATGCATATATGCAGGGCTAACAGTGGTCTTACTCAGGAGCAGCGTCGCATTGAGAAGGAGATGGTGGAGCAGCAGGCACAACTCTCCACCCACTACTGCCGCATGCTGTTGCCCGAGACTTCCCTTCAGCTAAAGCGTTTCCATCACTCCTATTCTGGAAGGTTAGCAGGCATAATTAAATAATTATCGTTAGCGCAACAATGTTTGAGAAATTTTCTAAGAGAGAGGGTTTCCCCATGCTCTTTGCTCCTTAGGGGGGGGGGGGGGGAGGAGGGGAAGGCTGAAGAGGAGGAGGAGGAACTGAGAAGGGAAAGAACTGCCAGAAATTTATTTCACAAGTTATCCCTTGTACCACCTGTAGCAGCACTTTTCACCAGCAGAGCCAGGTGACAGAGCCAGGTGACTTATGGCTCATGATGCAGTCTTTTCCCGGAAATTCCGGTAGGGTTGGCAAGTATGATGACATAGTGAGGACAGTGCCCTTGGTTTGCTGCCTACTCAATTGAAATCAGGTACACTTTCCCTATTGAGTTTCCTGGATTAGAAAGTGGCGGGTGATCGCGAGTTTTTTGTGTGCTGGTGGATGTGTTGCACCATTGCTACTGGTGAATGATACCGGCGTGGCCACACTCGGAGTCTCCTTTTCTCTGTTCTTGGATTGATCCGTGCAGCTGGAGAACATCAAGAACTAATGCTGATCAGATGTTGCAAGAAGTAAGCATCTTTCATTATTGGTGACGCAAGGTCTTGCACTAGGCTTATATTATGTATGCAATACAAGCACACTATCAAGTTGGATTCCTATCCAACAACCCTTTAAATGTACCATCTGCCTGGCTTTCGTTAAATGAGGGGGTAGGGTGAGGCTTGGAACCAAAACATGCTATGTAAGTTCGGAACTGAGATCTATAATTATAGGGTTGCATTGACACTAGGCTGCGAGAGTCACAGAGTCAGTAAAACACTGAGCTTGTCTGTTAGAGCCAGGCCAGCAGCCTGTTTGATCAAGTGCCAGTAGGTACCTTCAAGAAATTCCAGAGGCCTTTTCGTGAAGATGGTTGTGTATTTGACTCCACACACTGGGATCGTTCCTGGGCCTGAAAGTGCACTATGGACGATGCGTGTTGCAGTGTCTTCTACCGTGTTTGAAACAACAGTTTCGGTGGTGCTACATGCATCGCCGTGTCACGGTTCTATGGTCTGAAGTTCTCTGAGCTTTCTTGTTCTTTCACTGATCATTTTCAGGGTATACTGCGCTATGCAACGGCCGTGGTATGGATAGCTTTGGGCAGAAAGCACTGGGATCTGATCACTGAAGAGCTGGGAAGGTAAGCGACTACAATGTTTCAACCAAACAATGGTCACGGCATTTTAAAAACGTCCTTCGTCATCATCTTGTACTTAGCTAACATTCTTACTTCGCTGTGATGTTTAGAACATTATTTAAAAGCTTTTGTTTGTACGAGTGGAGCTAAGCTTATTGAATATTTTCCCAATTTGAAGCATTAACACTTTCTGAAGTCATCATATCCAATCAAAGTATAAGAGTTGGTGGACAAGCCGTTGATTATCCACTCTCATTGTAATATGAAACAAGCATCTTTATCCGCTGACGATGTTGTTCAGAACAACGAAAGGTCTGGAGAAGTATCGTAAATATTTCTATCTCTATTTATCAAATATACCACTCTTTGGTCTAGAAAGAATACTTTTTTCAAAGTATAAGAGTAAGATAGTCGCCGGTCTCTTCTGGTTCTACTGCAGGTTGTTTCGCTCCTCAGAGTTCAATATCAACAGCCGTCAGGTACATAAGCCAACGGAACGAGGTGAGCCATGAGCAGATTGAGCATGCTGAATGTGTAGATAGAATAGTAGTGTGCATGATCTACTATGGCAGGTGCTGCATACCCGGACTAACAAAGTCTCATTCACTCGCACGTGAACTACAGCGACTACCTCTATAATAGTCATGCATCAGCTCTTAGGTGCAATATGGAGCCGCACGTGCTCTTCGTACATGCATCCCAGTCAGTGTCGAACCTCAGTATGCAACCATTGCCGGTCATTGTTTTGCTGTCATGCAGAGATTCAAGCGGAATACCAGCAACAGAAGCGGTACATCTTGAATGGTGGCTCGCTGTCCAACTATACGAAGCAGAGAGATCTTGCACCAGAGTAAGCAGCCTATGCACCGCCGGACTGTGCCATATTCAAGGACTGTTATATAGAACACCAATGCACCTGAGTCCATCCAGGGTGAATCAACAGATTAGATCAGAGTCTTGCTGTATTCTAAGTCCTGGCAGTTCCCTGGACTCTAGCCCACAAGAAGTACTGGTAGTTTGCTCTATTGTGTGCACGCTACACATGGCTGCAGTGGTTCAGTGTAGAAGCAGTACTTGCGCAACTCTATGGCTCAACAAGCTCTTTCCCCGACCCCCCCCCCCCCCCTCTACTGGGACCCGACCGTGCAAGCTGCTGACTAACTCAGGAGGACTGCAGGCTTTTTCCAAGTCACTACAGTCCATTTCAAAACTATAGACGCGTACCTAGGCAAAAACCGTTATGCCAGCATCTATACCACATAAAATCTGTGATCACTTTGGGCATAAATTTTTCCAAATTGGGCGGCTGTTATCCAATCGTTTAGAAACTATATGAGAGTAATTGTGGAGCGGACCTGAGCAATATTCCGAAAACTATTCTCAAAAAGTTCCAGCCAAATTTGAAATATTTCGAAAACACTGCACGTCTATAGTTTTGAAATGGACTGTAGCTGCTATTTCGAGTCGTTAGGCAGAGAATGTTCCCAACCATGATGGCTGAGCGGGAGAGAGATAATCTTCAATACTATCACAGCTGCAACCTGCAAAGTTGTATATCATGTGCAAACCTATTCAGCTGATGTGCAATATGGTAACTTGTATGCACTGTGTCTTTGCGCTTTTCTTCTCCACTTGCCATCTGTTTGGCTGCAGGAAAATCCCACACTTACAATCAGTTATGAGGTAACCGTGATTAAAGCATTGAGCGTGCCTGCTGATACTACTTGTGCATGAACTACATGATGTACAAGTATAATGATCACACAGCAATGGCGCAACCAAGTCCTGTTCCGCCGTTATTCAGAGCATGACCAAGGCTAGCATTCACTAGAATATATACCGGTACTGAGGGTCTTAAGAAGAGGGCAGAGGTGATGGAGCTACAACATTTCAAAAGCGTGAGGAAAAGGAGGTGGCAAAAATCAGCGTGAATATAAGGGAACCAAATGTTACATACCAATGGGTTCAAAGTGTAGAGCATAGGGTAGAGGAATAGTGCTATGCTATACATGTAGCACACACACTAATGCGCAATTACCTGGCAACACAGCAATTTTTTCTCTTATAATCACGCTGATTTTTGCCACCAGGCTCCTTTTCCTCGCGCTATTGAAATGTTGTGCCTCCATCCCCTCTGCCCTCTGCAGTTTCTCAAGACCCCTCCGTACATATTCTAGTGAATGCTAGTCTTGGTCATGCTGTCTGCTGAGTGTTTCTTAATTAACACGAAACTCTGAGTAACGGCAGAAAAGGACTTGGTTGTGTCATTGCTGTGTGATCATTGTATTACTGGCTCTGTTCACTGGCACAGTTGCCAATCAATGCTGTTATTGATTGGGCTTGTGCCCGTTTCTCGGCTGATAAACCGTAGGCGGCAATACCAGGATGGGTGTACCATGATCATCGTGATGGCATGCGCACAAACCTGTCATGTACAGTTGTGGCAAGTGAAATCCGACACTTGGCATAAGGGACTGCACCACGCAGTCTGCAGCCCCTGCAGCCCTGCATACGTACAGTACATGTGTTACATACAACTTTATCTGTCTGATGACAAAACTCGTACTCATCACAGTCAAGGTTCAAAAGGTGCTGGCAAAAATGAATGGGGATTGGATACCAATACTCCTTATGCGTACTATGTTTGTGAACTGTGTGTATCTACGCTGTGACCTTTCGATCTGTTTGGGATGCATACGGCTCTATAGTACAAATTTGGTGCAGTGCATTACATCATTGATGTCCATTTGTGGCGCTGTCCCCTATGGCAAGTGTCGGATTTCACTTGCCACAACTGTAGTTTGCAGAGCGTATAACCCACTTGCATTGCAGAGCAGCCAGTCTGTGCACAACGTCCACAAGGAAGACATCTGCTATTACTTTTGGTTGTTTTTGAGGCCGTAACCCACATATATACATTACTCTACATCCTGGGCAATAGCACAGTGCTGTGGTTATGCAACAACATTATCCCTTGATATCTTGTGGTGTGTTGTACTCAGGAAAAATTCGCCTTTAGTTTCGATGCTGCTGGATCAGCGGCGGAGTCGTGGGAAGCAGATAGACACGTCATGGTGAGTGTGTATAACTATCGTAAAGCACCGTTGATCCGCCCCCTGTCGATTTTCTACCTGTGAAGCGATTTCGGCGTATACAACGAAATACGATGTTGAACCGACGCTTGCACTGCTGCACACAATATGTGCCAATCCAGGATGAAAATGTGCACAATTTAGCACATCGAGTCTGATCCTCCAAGTTGTTGTACATCGTACTGCACTTGACAGCCTTGATCTAATTCCCGCCCCCTGCCGAAAAACCACCTGGGAAGCGACAAGGCGTGGGGTGGGGGGGGGGGGATCAACGGTACTGTACGGTATAATCATGATGACTGCATGTGCCGGTACGTTGTACATGTACATATACTTGTAGCTATTTCTCCAATGTCTGTGTGGATGTCATACACTCATAATTATTGGACAGTATCTCTGTCAACGCAGTGTGGATTGAGTAGTGAACAATGCACGTTCTGGCACTCGTATATCCACTCGGTTTTGGTATTCTGCTGCGTACCAGGGGCTGCAAGAACCTGGAAATGCGCCCGCACGTGGGAATACTTGGCCGACCTGTACAAGACTATACTCCCTTCCTGGAACCAAAGCCGGTGGAAGTCAAGAAAGCGAAGCATCGCAACGGTGATAATGACAGTGACGGTGGCAGCGATACAAACTCTGAGACTACCGATGACAGATCAGACTCGATAGCGGGCAGCGATTTCGGGTCCAGTGCCATCCTACTTGGTACGACAGGTTCGCTTGCACCAATAGACAATCCTAGCTAGGCTGGCTAGGCAGTCAATGGTATTGTCTGACTCCCCCCCCCCCCCCCCCCCCCCACACACACACCAGATAAACAGGTATTCAGCCTTGACACTTGCTGGACTTCTTGGTGGTACTGCTCACATGTTTGTAAGATCTTGTCTGGATCAGTACAGCGGCATTACAATGTGTTTCTCCCTAGTACTTTTTCCGCTTGGCCTTGAGCAACACTTTTTCGTGACTTGAGCATACATTGCTGCCACTGAAGCTGAAAACACAATGTTTGAGCATTTCTGCATGCCTGCCTCATTATTGCACCATCCTGTTGAGTTGACTTGCATGATAAATAAAGACTTGACCATTTATAGGAGTTGGGCATACACACAATTGTGTTCAGACACACGGAGAGAGTACCTAACTCCTGACAGCAACCGGGACAGGTGGCTGTGTGCTACTTTATTTGCAGTCCCACTTGTCCAATTGTATGTGGACATCACAGTTGTTTCCTTTTTTGCAGTGTGAAGATATCGCATTGATACATATTGCGTGCAATATCTCGCGGAAGGGGCATGACATGTATTATACTCACGTGACTGTACGCATCATACGGTACTTTTCCATGCGTGCATACACCAAGTACTTCGCACTGTCTGCAGTAGTCCGGCAGGAGACAAGAAACCCCTCTGCACTCTTCATTGTTCTGTATCTTGTTGTACCGGTCAATACACTCTACTTCTTATGCCGCGACTTGTCTTCGTTTGGAAAGGAGACTAGCAGTAACATTACAACTGCATGTACATGACAATGCGGAAGATCAGACTTATTGTTATTATTTAAATTTTGAATAGGGCAATCCCCACAGGCTAAGGCCTTTTTACAGGGTACCCTATGTGATCACGTACAGATCTGCGGCAAAGTGAAAACGAGGAGCAAGATCAAATGTCAGCTGGGAGAGAATTCCAGCGGTCAGAAGCCAGAAAGCTCTCAAAGCGAATAAGCCATATCGATTGCGTGCTTTAGGCAGAGCAAGTGAATCCATAGACTGGGAACGTGGAAGGGCAGCTGTGTGTGTAATGGCGGAACGAAGGCCGCTGAGAAGCAATCAGAGAGCAGAGTACTACACATGCCATGTAGGGCCCGAAAGACAAGAATATAGTTACAGTTGAAGCCGATAGCGCAGTGCAATAGGAGCAAGGCCGTATCTGGCATGTAAGACTGAAACATCATAGTGCCAAGGGACACCGAAAACAATCCTAACAGCGCGGTTAGCAATACGAGTTAGTCTATCATGTTGTGTGATGTGAAGGCAGTGCACAAACGAATTAGAACCATACTCTAGGTGTGCTTGAATAAATGAGCAGTAGAAGGTTTTTCTTGTAGCTCAGTGATCATAGTGATGTCAGGTTGTCCCTGATCTTGTGGAACATGGCAAGTTTTGCTCCGACATTTTTCACAAGTTCACTAATCATGGAGAAGGATAAGTGCTCGTCAAAAGTAAGGCCAATCTGTTGGTGTTGGGGATATGAGAACATCGCCGAGCCGAAGGCAGATGTTAGGAGGAACCTTACTCGTGATTGCACAAGGTGGGAGAGCTCTGACGGATAGGTTAAAAAGAGGGCAGGACCCAATGTTGACCTTTGGGTACACCTCTGGTAGTGGTAGGTGTGTACTTCCAGCGGTTCATCACTGAGTACAGTACCACCGTCGACAAGAGTACATAACCCCAGGGGTTATGTACTCTTGTCGACACCAATAGAGAAGAGTTCTTGAAGAAGAGAGGCGTGATTGACTGTATCAAATGCTTTACTTGCATCGTGTACCAGTGTCAGTGGTGTACCTGGTGTACAGCTGCATGAGGAGTCTGTTCAACACCAGTGCCTGCTCCAGCGCCGGGTGAGCCGGGTAATCCACCCGGTTGGGCGGCGCTTGGACCCGGTTGAAAATATAGTACCGGGTCACCTGTGACCCGGTTGGTACTTTACACTTTCGAACTTTGAAAGGACTGACCACATGGCTTGTATGTTCATATGTGTCAGATACTTCTTCTTCTTTCGTAATTTTCTAATTTCTGCCCTCTCTTTTCTAAATGCGGCTTATCCATTCGCCTTTATGTCATTGGACCTAGTTCCCGTTTATTGTCCGAATTAAAATAAACCAACCAACCAGTTAAAGCATGTGCCTCGGCTGGTGAGACAGCGCCAGGTACATGTGTACCCCCGGTTACGACCCGGTTGAAATGGTTGCGCCAGGTACACGTGTACCCGGCTGTCCTACAATCCTAGAGCAGACACTGAACACCGTATTTTGACGTATACACTCGCTGAAGTATCGGCTTCATGGATTCACAGCAAGGGCGTGGGGGGGGGACTACTACTAGGCTTATACCGTCAAGTAATACCGGTAGTTATACTTATACTAAATATACAAGTTATAGGGGGGGGGGGGCAGAGAGGACCTGGGTCTACTACTACTAGTAGTAGGACTAGGACTAGGAGGCGGGTCAACGACTCAACGGACGGTGACGTGTGCACCGACGTGTAGCGGCGCGGTAGGCGCTAGCTAGCTAGCTAGGCACCTACTACTACTAGGCGCCTACAAAAAAGGTTCTGTTTGAGCCGTAGATCTACTACTAGTACTAGTACAGCCGTCGTGCACCACGCAGGGAAGCCACGCCGGCACGGAGAAGGGCATAATACTTTATAGTTAAAGGGGAAGTTCACCCTAAAATCAAAATTTCACAGTTTGTAGATTTCGAGGCGCTGAGTTCGGTGGTGAAGGTCCCATCGCCGTACGATACGCCGTTCTGGAGATATTTGAATTTGAAATTTACCATGACGTCATGCAAAATGACGTCATGCGGCCGGCGCACACCCCCTCCACACCCTGTGACGTCAAAGAGATACAGGTTCCCGGTCTGCTTGCTTTTCAGTGAGCGAGAAAGAGTGGCGTTTGTGGAGTTTCTTTCTTGCGACCTGAACAGTTTCAACCACGATGACGGTTTGCTGTGCTGTCGGCTGATCTAACCAGTCTGGCAAGCCCCCTGGGACCACGGTGCATCGTATTCCGCGGGATAAAGCTCTCCGAGCGGAATGGGTTGCAGCGATTCACCGCGAGAATTTGCCACCTAAGTTTGAGGAGAGCTGTGCAATTTGTTCGGCACATTTTTGAGGAGATGCCTTCCAGAGGAACTTGCACGGAGAGATGGGCAAAACGTGCCGCCGAAAGCTGAAAGCAGACGCTGTGCTATCGATTTTCCCGGACAGGCGTCCCCCAGCGAAGCGAAGGATGTCGCAGTATCAGGAGAGGCAGGAGAGAGAAGAGGTGAGTGAATGGTTCTGGTGATTTCGTGCTTTGAGAGCGTGTTGAAACTTTGTCTGTACATCGCGAGTTGGAGAGGGCAGTTTCACCCACTGTGTTGAGTACATCGTATACTTGTAGAGAAAATTATTTACAGATACCGGTACAAAGCTGTTTGCAGTGTGTTGATTGCAAGGTACTAGTATTGAATGAAGACAGAAGATCGTGCAATATATTTTTGTTTTATTTCAATTCAAGTTTTACATGTCGTGAAAAGGCATACAGTCACGGGTCACTTGCACTAGCTCTGTCCTCTGCTTGGTAAGTTTCAATTCCAAGAAAGTCTTTATTGTTTTGCATTGTCACTGTTATCTGCGTGTATTTTGCGAGTATGATCCTAGCTCAAGCCTATGCTGAGCCGCATGCCGCAGCTTTTCGGTCTCCAGTTGCATGCGCATTGAGTCCAGACGATGGCATGATATCTGCTGATGCGTGCACACAGACCCCCGTCAGCACACGGGAAATTTAGAGGTGATGTTATGGTACCCACTGTGTAGATCAAATCCACACGGGCATATGCTTGCAACACTGGCAGTACATTTTCATGACTATTCTTTTGCTATAAACACACACACACGCGCGCGCGCGCGCGCGCGCACACACACACACCTTTGACGCCAATCGCCCGAGGCAATGATGGCAATGCTACGGCAGAAGCCATAGCAACTTGTGCTGGAATTGCACCATTCAACAGCTTGCAAGGCTGAAGAATTGACCGTCACAATTCAGCCTGGTCTACACCATACAGCTACACACACACACGTGCAAGCACCTGGCTGACTACAAATAGTGACAGCTTATGATTGCTTTGCCGTTTGTCCATTATGCAGGTGTTCCACCGGACTCCTCGGCCAAGTTTTCCGAACATCAGCCATATGTATTGTCGGTATGCTGCGTAACGGTGCGAGCTGCTTTGGGGAACAGGGGAGCAGATCTTCCTGCTGTTAGTCTCACATGTCAACGTACATTTCAGTGCAACAGCAGCACACTACAACAACAATTTTTTGAAGAAGTATTCAAGCCAATATCCTGGTTATATTTTTGCACCATGGAACAGTATTTAATTTTGATGAGAAAATACAGTTCTCCGATGCAAAAATCGACGACAGTAATTACACTATTAGCACGTACCGGTTTCCAAACTCAGATGGCTTCGATCCGGCCTGCTCATGTCGGATCTTGCCCAAATAGCCACGCAGTACAATGTACAGTGCGTGCTGGTTGCTGCAGCCTTCCTCGAACTGTGAGGTGCTGCCGATTCCGGAACATCTTTGCAGCAAATGCAGTCGTTCCGCAATAATTGAACGACGCATTTGCCACATTCACACCAGGACGTATTGCCAACGCGATCGGCAGGCCGGTGGCCAGCAGTCCTCTAAGCAAGCAGCAGGGTCAGTGTCGGCAGCAGCCGCTGCAGTTTCGTCAGCATTTACACCAACTTGCTCCGCACTCGCCATCTGCATGATCTCATCCTCGGTATACTCCGGTTCCTTCGCTGGCGTCCAACTCGCTCTCCTCGGAGTCACTGTCATCTCCTGACAAGGAGGTAGACCTACCCTGAATCGTTTCCGCTCTGAGCCTCATACTGCTTGACTTTCCGCCTTGGACATTCACGACTTCACTTTCTTCTCCGTCCAACTCCAAGTAAAAGTTCCGAGCTCCAGGAGCTCCTCTATCTCTTTGACGTCACAGGTTCGTGACGCCATGGCGGCGCCAAAAACCGGGGATCAAAGTGATATTTCAGTTGCGTATATCTCCGGTTATAGTCACCGGATGAAGACGAGACATACACCAATCGACTCAGCTGATTTTTCCCAATAACATATCTGATTTTGATTTTAGGGTGAACTTCCCCTTTAATACTGTACATGTATTCGCACCCGAGTCATCCGCTCGACTCACTGTCTCGGAAGCTGCCATACAATATAGACACTTGTTTATGCCTAGCGCCTCGTCATCATTGCGTCTTTGTACTTGTGGTCCACTTTCACCATGTTCACGATAATAACACACACAGAACTTGAGAAGGTTAGTTACCCACAAAGACACAAGCTTTCCAACTCTCTTTGGCCTTTGGAAAGCGTACCTTTTCTCGTATGGTCGACCGGTCCATGTTTTTATTGTATCATTGTGTTACCATGGTTACTTATAACATGTAGTGTGGCTGAGTGTGCACTGTGCAGTGTGCACTGACCTAGACCTAGTCGACCTGTGCAGTGTGCAGTGCACACAATGTCACATGCAATGATCACGTGATCACACGTATGTTGCAAAAGAAGGATCCACGAGCGGGATTCGAACCCAGCACCCCTGTCTTTCCGGGACAGTGCCCTACCGATTAGGCTACCGGGGATCACACACACTCATGGTTGCCAGGCGCCAATGTTGCAAAAGAAGGATCCACGAGCGGGATTCGAACCCAGCACCCCTGTCTTTCCGGGACAGTGCCCTACCGATTAGGCTACCGGGGATCACACACACTCATGGGTCCTTCTTGCTACACTGCTCCCCCGCCCCAACAGGCTGTGTCCTCACGCCGTACCTACTCAGTCGGTAGAGCATGAGACTCTTAATCTCAGGGTCGTGGGTTCGAGCCCCACGTTGGGCGCCAATGTTGCAAAAGAAGGATCCACGAGCGGGATTCGAACCCAGCACCCCTGTCTTTCCGGGACAGTGCCCTACCGATTAGGCTACCGGGTATACCGGGGATCACACACACTCATGGGTCCTTCTTGCTACACGTAGTGACGTACACGACGAGGGGAAATTTGGAAACCATGCCAACTGTAAAATGGCGTCAAAAAGAGCAAAAATGAGCACAACATTTTTTTGTTGAGACAAACAACAAAGAAGCGAAAATTAATACCAAAAAAGAGAGACGAGCCGCGAGGTGCAGGCAAGTCTTGTGTCCATTCGTAGAGAAAGCTTTGCAGGATTCAGCTCTCACGTCCGTCCGTTGGAAAGCTTCAGTGGAAGGGACCGTAGAATTTGTTGTGCTACGCTATCAGGCGCTGCTGGCTCTTCGTAAGAGAAGATCATGTCGCGAATAATCGTCAAAAAGCTGCCGAGATACATCAGCGAACAGCGCTTTCGAGATATATTTTCAGCTCAAGGTGATATTACTGATTCCAAGTTAATCTACACCAAGGAGGGAAATTTCCGTGGCTTCGGATTCGTTGGGTACAGGCGCCCTGAGGATGCTCAGAGTGCTGTAGAGCACTTCGATAAATCTTACTTGGACACCACCAAGTTGCAGGTAAAACTTTATTTCCACAAATAATACAGTACACCCTACTCAAGTAGATGGCCTTACAATACAAGATCGGGGCAGGAGCAGTTGGAAACAATGTGAACCATGCTCCCGCTAAGTTACTTTGCAGTTAGCACCAAGACTGGTATACAATAGCTAGTGCATGTATTGCCGTCTTCTGTAGACATTGTATTTCTCCTCACACCATTCCCTCTTTGTAACAAACACTCACGTACACTGGTCATTGCACTGATTGTTTTCCAGAGCACATCGAACCTTTTCAACTCACTGGTTAAGCGAACAGGTGCCATTCTACTATCCTTGCTTGTATCTAGCTCAAAGAATGATCTATTTAAACTTGTGTGATTGATGGCAGCAGGCAGCAAAATCCAGAGAAAAGGAAGCCAGCTACATGTACATGTACTAGTATGCAAAAAAGTTCTCAGTTCATACTGTGCTCCGTCTGTTTGTTGGTGCTATTATGTACATGTGCGCGTGTGTACGGAATGTATAGGTTGAACATGCCAAGTTGCCCGGTGACCAATCGCTACCTCGTCCCTGGAGCCGACATGCTCCTGGAAGCAGTGCGTTCAAGAAATCTCAACAGCAACCCGATGAAAGTCAAGATGACGAAGAAGAAGGCGACAGGCCAGAGAAGGTAATTGGTTAATTCATGCAGGATCCTGTTTTCAGACTCCCGTTTAGTCAGAAATAAAGTGCTGCTTGTATGGCGTACCTCTGAATGCCATGATGATCTGTTTTTATAGCTAAAGGTACTGTCGGTTCAACGACACAGTGCACAGGCCTTTATGGAGGTGACAATGCAATCACACTCGTTATGAATCAGTTCCAGGCTCCTAGCAAGTATCTTGTTCATTTTCTTTGGATCGTAACTTCAGTTCTACTCACAGCGTCTTCACAATCTTGGCCTTCCTGAGAGAGTAAGAGAATGGAGTCACGCATAATGACAAGGATACTACATGTTCAGCACTAGACAGCAGCGAAACTGAAAAAATGTTCCAAGCGCCAACAATTTCGTTCTGTACCGATGATCTCACTTCTTTGATTCCTGGGTTTCGAGTTTTTCTTGTATACCCTTTACAATCTGGGAAGTAAAGTCTGCGCAAATTTGAGAGAATCCCACGCATTCAACTTGCGCTTCATTATTTTTTAGTCACAGTTTGTCGCGGCGCAATTTCAAAGCGATTTTATCTTGAGATCCGTCCATCGTAGCTCTTCGGCAATAATTCCTATTGACAGCTGAGAGTTTTCTCTTCAACCTAGACCCTTCTATTGTTGAATTTGGTTGAGAGATACCGAGTTGTGATATGTCAAACTTAGACTCTGTCTGTTTCGAAGGTTGTTGGCAACTCGTTGGTTTTGTCCCTTGGTTGTCTTATTACTGTCACAATATGTCGCGTGCATGTTTGGGTTTCTTGAACTTTCTTCACACTTGCACCTTTTTGTCATTCCTGCTATGTGTATGAGGTCACGCACTTTACCATGGTGTGCTGGCTACTCTGCTTTGTGTTGTTTCTATCATATCTATCATCTACAGTATGCTGTATAAAATTCATTTTGCTTGTTCAGTTTATTTTTGCCTGTGTCCCACCTGATGAGGAAGGATTGAAAGTATAATAATATTATATTGGCATAATTTGACTTTAATGTGCGCATTCCATTTCTTTTATCTGGTGCTGGTGGACTGACTGGATGTTTGGATATTGCTTTCCTCAACTTTCTGATTGCGTAGGGCAAGAAAAAGGAGAAGAAGAAGAAGCAGACAATTGCCACACTTCTGAAAGACAAAGTCGGTGTAAGTACATAATACATGATGTAGTACCAAACCAGAGTGTGTCACTCTGCATATGGGTTCTAGACAGCGAAATTCATCGGTTACGTCATTTTTTGACGAGGTATTTATTTTATTTATGTAATTTTTTTTATTTTTTTTATTCACAATCACGAGGCGCTAGCCAATGAAAAGGTGATGTGGGCGATAGCCAGCCATGGCGGTAATAGAGGGGAGAAAAAAATGAATGAAAGGGGAACTGAAAAGTAAGAGAAGCGCGGGGGAGCTAGGGCAGGCCTGGATATCAACTAGTATGTTGCATTCTGCAGTAGCAGTATAGAAGCCGCAATCCGCTTTTTGCTGTTGAACTGCATCAATACTATCAGTTTTGACGGTACCTTGACATCAACAATGACAAAATCGACGAATTACGCCTTCCCACCCACTTTCTGAGTTGCATGCTCTTCTTCATGTACTCTTGGTAGCAGCAGTACGGCTGTACAATGTACTGTACTGACCGGTGGCATACATAGTTAGCCTCGGGTATAGTGGCATGATGTGTCATGTAACTATGGCACACGTTCGAGTACCAGGCTGCAGTGTGCTGGTAGCTGGAGTCTAGGTCGAGTTCATTGGCCAGTATTCATGCAGTTTCCTCTTTGGGTGTCTGTGTGGAGCTGAAAGGTTCTGAACTCTACAATATCTGTTTGTATAGTGGCTGTGTGATGTTTTCATGGAGCCTTCTGTTGAGATTCCATTGGCACCACTTTTGTAGCTCTCTCTTTCTCTCTCTCTCTCTCTCTCTCTCTCTCTCTCTCTCTCTCTCTCCCCCCCCCCCTCTCTCTCTCTCTCTCTCTCTCTCTCTCTCTCTCTCTCTCTCTCTCTCTCTCTCTCTCTCTTTCTCTCTCATCTCTCTCTCTCTCTCTCTCTCTCTCTCTCTCTCTCTCTCTCTCTCTCTCTTTCTCAGGTGGATGAAGATGATCCTGCATTTCAAGAGTTCCAAGCACTCTATAACCGTGGAGAGAAGAATAAGACATGGGCCAACGATGCTTTGGTATGTGAACCAACAATGTGCGTATGTGGATATGCTTGCATGTGCTTAACCGCTACTATGTATGACTCGTGCTGTGGGTCAAGGATGCTTCATACACTTTCTATTTTCATATGCTTAGGCTGTGTACGCAACGAGGTACTAGTAGCTGCCAGCTCAGGGCTGCTGGGTGTTTACCAAGAATACTAATCTCAGAGTCCAGACTCTACCCGTCCATGCAGCGCATCGTCCTATTTTTCCCCAATCAAACTCACACACTTCCCCGGAAACTGGGCGAGTGCGCCCTACTGGATGGGGATTTGTATGGAAAAAACTTCACTTAGAGCATCACTTCGTTCTTGTAGAAGTACTGATCAACTCGCAGAACCTGTAGTCTTCAGTTGGATGCTGAATCGATGGTCTTGGTCCGAGCACGCTGCGGGGCAGCATTCAGCTCTTGTTCCCACTCGAACGCAGTCCGTTGTAATGTGCATGCCAGTCACCGTACCAGTGCAGTGCACCGTGCAGACAACAACCTCAGTTACCTGCAATACGTGTGAATCGATTGCAATGACACAGCTAGCATCCTGTGTACACTTAGCCAAAGCAGGGGCGTGACCGTGATGAGTTCACCGTGCCCTGCACTGCATACACAATCATGGTGTGTTCCCTGTGTACTGGACGTAGACCAGCAACAGGGTGCACTGTCTTGTCTTTAAATGTGTGGTGTTATTTTGCTTTCCAGGTCCCTGATGAGCGGAAGAAAAAGCGAGCTCATCAACCAGATGTAAGTACAAGCGAGAGTCCATAACCCCCAAAGTATGCAACTCTGCACATTGGGTCTGGCATGCTGCTCACATTACCTAGTCATGGACTGGAATACCAGTTGGGCCATCGTGTCATTATTGATCCGCTACAGTTTCTTGGAGACTTTGGAAGGTTTTTTGTGAGTGATGTGTCGCGTACAGACACTGCCTTTGAACTACTGTATAACATGTGAATTCGTTGTACCTACGCCATAGGAAAACTCAAAGCAATGCCCCACGTAGCACACATAGCTTGGAGATCAGAGTCACATACTCTTGAGGCTATATACTCTTGGTACAAGTTGCCAATATTACCAGTCTGGTGTGAACTCGGGTTGAGGGCTTCATTTACAAGAAGACCAACAGTCGATGTGCAAAATGAATTCAGCCTT